TTTCTTCGGTTATTTCTTAAACTTGACATTTTTTAAGAATTACTCGGAAATTGTTCGTTTCATCAACTCCGAGTGAAGATTGGTGGTTTTACGGGCATGACCCGATAAATAATTAACAACAAAAGTAACGAGTTTGCGTTAGCAGAAGATTGTTGGATTTGTAGAGAAATAATTGTGCCCAAGGTAACAACATGACTGACGATATATATAAGGTTTTTCATTTTTCCATGCAAGTCGGGAAATTGAATTCAGAAAGCTAAATAATCCATCGAAGACCTAAAGGTCTCCTCCATTATAAACTTTGAAAGTATACCTTCGGTGTCTGACACTGCACTGCTATAACTGCACTGACCTTTGAAATATGTTTTGTGTTAAGTACGAAAGGAAGATATTTTGAATAACGAACACTCAGAGTAATCTATTATTTTCAGTGAGTTTGTTACATTACTTTTATTATATAAGCTAATCCCAACGTAAGCTATAACCAAATAAGGCGACTGTATTCAGAAAAAAATGGAATACCCAAAAGTCCATTGTCGGGTTTAATAATTTCTGCAATAATGAATAGAATTTTTATCTAAGCATCACCAAGGTTGGTGTACATTGGTTAGACGTGATACCCTTCTTCTAAAATACCCAGAATATCATGCGTAATTTTTTGATGCATTGCCATCGGAAACCACGAAATCAAGATGACCGACACGTAACAAAATGGTGCAAGAGGTAGTTTCACGCGGCTCAACGAACTACGAGATTTACACTTGTTTTCTCAAAAATACTCAAAATAATCAATTGAGAATTATTTTTTTCTTTTTTATATAAATATCTCACCAAGTTATAGCGCATTTATTCACATTACAGTGTATACTATTTTAACATTACGACATCAGTATGAGTCGCATTTTATGAAATGGAATTGCCCATCCTATTAGTAATACTACAAATATCTGCCCAGTTAGGGCAAAACAACAATTGAATCCAACATTAATAATATTATCATTTTGCTGTTTATAATTAAACTTTAGATTTAATATATTTCTACATATCAATATATTCGACCAGACCCAGAGTGTAATAAGTTGGGTTGGGAATGCGGAACCGAAAAGATTCTTCTTTCCGTGAGTTATCAGTAGATATTTTTACCGGGCTTTGATGCGCGAGTTTGTGCCTTTAAAAAATATATTCTTTTTATATATTCAGAAAAATTTTATTGTCATTGCTCGTGACTTCAACTGTCCCGATAGAAATATTGACTTTCCACGCGTTTTTCACTCACTACCTCCATCGTTCGGTGACTGATATAACAGGTGATAGCCATTTTAAAACTGTATCCGTTTATTTCCAACGAGTGGCGAACCGATTTGATAATTTATTGAGAAACAATAAAACTTTATTTCCAATATCACGGCTTTAATTAAATTCGCAATGTCTACAATCTGAAACTTGTCAACAATCCTGAGTATGAACGTGAATGATTTCCAATCAAGTATTTCACACCAAAGATCCAAACAAATAACTAACAACATATCGTGTTGACTTTTCTGTTTTGTTTGATTTCCCAGTGTGAGAACTACTGTATTACAATTTGACACCAAACAACTAAATTATGTGACACTTCGATTAGATTTGTTTTCTTTTTGGAACAGCATGAAATTTATCCTTCGATCCTTGCCATCAATGGCAGTTGGTAATATCACAGTGATTTTGTATAATTTTATACTGCTATTGTAACCAAATATAGAGCTAACAGCGCATATATATTTCAATATCATGTAAGCAAATGAAGATTAAATTGTAAGATTTTGAACCATTGTTCGGTAACGACTACCTCATTAAAGTACATTCACACATAGAAAAAAAATTCAACTAGTTGAACTAAAAAAGCCTGCTTTTAATTGCACTACAGGTCCTGATTTTATTAAAGGATTCTACTCATAAGATAAATAGAAAATGTACACCTTATATAGGAAAAATTTGAACTAGTTTAACAAAGATTCCTTTTGAAATTGCACCACAGATCCTGATTTTATCAATGGTTTATACCCATAAGATAAATAGAAAATGTATACCTTATTCGAGCAATGTGTCACAATACTTTTGACCCTAACAAGTATCGATCAAAATGTATATAATACCAAATGATTATTCTGAATATTCCCAAAACATGATTCGATAGTTTCACAAATTCACAATTTAAAACACGTGTGCAATGCAAATAATTACAAATATCAAAGCATTAAGCTTTATATACTCATATATATACACCCATCTAAGTTTGGTACGATTTATCGGTTCAGTTAAGGTAGTATGTTTTTAATTGTCTACCATGATGTGGAATTACCGTGAAATAACAGTTAATATGTACATCGAAAAGATAAATGACGAATGGTCGCTACCTTATCAAATCAAGCACGATTTGTTATTTGTTCGATTTTTTCCTGTAACACATTGTGATTTAATTAAAAATATTCGAATTTAGTGTAGAATTTCTCACAAGTTTTATAAACGTTTGTGAACAGCGGGAGATCTCAGTTTAAACATTTTCTTCCGTGAGTCCATTAGTTGATGACGACATGATATGATGGACGGATAGCGACTGGCTGAGGAATTTCACTTCAAAATCTTAAATCTCGTCGGATTACTCTGGTTTATTTGCTTTGCTCGTAATCTCCCTCGGGATTTTTATTAAGAATTCAGTACAGGTAGAAATTAAGGTATCGTACTTTTCAAGTTTATTAGATTAGACAAAGAATTGTTATTAGAATGGAAGTTGAGAGTTGTGCCTTGCTTCATAGCTCAGTATATTGCTTGCAGATTAGTTATTATCGTGTACTGAGTAGAGGTTGAGCTTTAAGGTAAAGAAAATTATTCCACATACATTTAAATTTAAAAATTAAGCGTTTTATTAATGTCAAGTCTCGTGAACGCCATGTTTATTAGCGCTAGCGCACGTATACATAATATATAAAGACTATAAATGGTAATGTTTGAAAATCAACTATTATTCAGAAATATTCGCTATAATTGAATAATCTTATTGATGTAAAGTGTAGTCACGGAAATTGTCTTCCCCGAGTCAAAGAGTTTCAATTTTATAACACTGATTACATATTAAACCCTTCGGTGATCCGACTTGATCTTTTACTATGACCAGAAAAAAGAATAATGATCTAATTTCAACTCCAAAGTTCATTCTGTTGAATGGAAGTCGACCGAATACAAGCGCTCCCTCCATCTTGGCCATTGTAGAATAATCACGGGGTTACACAATATAGAACCGCAGAAGTTTGCGAGTTTACTTCTGCAGAACCTCATTAGAATTTAAGTTGTGAGCAATGCTTTCACAAATGCAAAAATATATAAACGAATCGAAGAAGCAATCGAACGCAAAATTTACTAATTTGCAGGTTCAGCATCGAAGCATATAAATAAAATGCATGAATAAACGATGAAATAATTTTCATGACAACTTGGGAGTTTGAAATCAAATCATGCATTTTTGACACGGGTGAACCATAAAAAACGGCCGATAGCGTGAATCTCAGAGGAATTGGTGTGGCATAGGATTAAAATACTAATCTATGTTATAAGATGCGAATCATGTCTATAACCTATTGTCTCACGGCGGTGTTTTGCTTTTGCTCATAATATGAATTGGCTAATATCACAGAATAAACAGAAACATAAAAGGATAGTAAGCAGCTAATGTATTTGGTGCATAATGTAATTACCGCAGTAATCTAAAAATATTCACATCATGCACTAATCCAAACGATTGCGCTAAACCTCACACTTTGGAATCAAATCAGCGTACAATTATAATAATAAATTTAGCTCAGAAATCGACTTCATGTCCAATTGATGCTCGCATTACGTTTTTGTGCAATATTAGAAGTGGCAACAACAGTTTTAGATATTGCAGGCGCGAGGCTATCTGTCAATATGAATGTGTTATTGTTTCAAAATTAATATATTTACGTCAAGTAATATTTCGTGATAATAACATGCACTTGCACCCTAGACCAAGTAGGTAGTTGTAATCGATTTTAATCTTCAGGGATGGTTATTGCGTTAAAATACTTTTATCACACGGCATATCACAGACTGAAAACAGTATACTAAAGAGACATCGTGACATTAGGATTTCGGCTAATCTGGCTCAATATACGGAAACATCCGATCCATATCATTGAATTATTGAGCTACGTTTTTAATGAGTACGAATAATAGCAAAAGATTCGGTATGAATGAAGTAAATTGAGATGCGTAAACCAGTACAAAAATGTGGGTTGAACCTTTCGGTGATGACACCTAAATTATGGTAAATGTCAGTTAGTTCATTGTGTAAATATCCGTCATAACAAGACAGTAAGTTTAAAACGCCAAATGCAAATGAAACACTCGAAAAAATAACTGCTCACCATTTTACATTTGAACAAAACGCATTTCATTTAGCATTCAAATTTACAGGCAGTTCGCTCGCATCTAAGATTAATCGTTATCCATGCTTGATTTGGCAGTGACTCGTTTCAAGCCAGACTAACCAAAATCAGCATGATACGACACTGAAACGACAAAAGGCATTACGAAATTTCTTCGCGTTTCTCTTCGGAATGTATTCAGAATGATCTATACAGTGTGCAAGACCCGCAAACCACAAGGGAGTTGAGAATCAAAATTATCAATTCTTGTCTGACAGCAGAAAAAGGGAAAGAAATTATAAGAGACGGCGTGGGGCTTATGTAACTTATTAGTTTAGTTAGTGATTTAATATACACTGCAGAATAGGGTGAAATGAATTTGATTTGCCATGATATATATTACCAAAATGGGTAGAATGAAATAGATTAGAATGACAAGAGCTGATTCTAGTTATAAATATTATAAAAATGAAAAATTAGATTTTTTACACTTTACGAGGGAAATTATTAATGGGACTTTGTGTAAAACAACATGTTTATTGCACGAAGCAGCATTTTTCATTTTGACGAAATACAAAACTTCTTTTAACAGTGAATATTCAAGATGAAAAATCTATTATTTTTAATGATATATTTGTGTCTATATGACATAATTCTTGCATCTTCGGAATATCCGAAAAGTTTTACGGCGGCGTCCGGTGATGACTCTGGTTCTGGAGAATATGGGAGTGCTGGATACAGATCAGGGACACCGACATCAGATACTATACTACATGAAATAACAGTAACAAGTGGCAACAAAAAAGAAGTAGCAACCACGCAAGCAACGATTCCTGATGAAAATGATCCCAACTGCATTTCTGGTGAACTGTGTGGCATCACACTATCCCCTTTTCCAACCAAAGTGTTAGATATTGATTTGGATGAAGACTCAAGTACGTTCGAAGAAAATACTGTAACAGAAGTAAATAATTGCAAACTCTCCAATATCGCGATAAATAAACGATTGCGGCAAATTGAAATTGAGCAAAAATTGCAGAACTCACGAAGTCAATTTTATTTTACGAAAATATTAGAAAAACTAGAACAGATTGAAATGAGAAGCATATCAGAAGGCCTAACAAAGGAAAAATATGATCGAAAAATGTCCACGTTTGAGAATCAAGTTGAAAACATTTACAAAGTTCAGGGCGAAAGTAAATCAAATTTGCAAAAGATAATATCATCGATAAATGATTTGAAAGAAAGAGATGAAAAATATAGAAAGGAAAGTGAGGAAACACAGAATTCTGAATTGAACAGTGATGAACAATATTCGACAATTGCTAACAAGAGCTACATTGATGTAAAATTCCTTGAAATGAAAAGATTCATCAACGAAAGCAGTGATGTCATGGAACGGAAATTTGCTAAAAAATTAGAGTCGACATTAGGAATATTTCGCAAAAGTGTCGAAGGTAACGAGCTTAAAGTCTTTTTTTAATTTACCAACTTGCAAAATAGGTTTGAACTTTCTTTTGCGCTTTCTAAGTTTTTAAGTTAATGACCAAAAGTATTTACGCAAACGGACCTTTACAATGTGGACCAAGTACTCTTTTCCTCCACCTAACTATTTTCGTTTTTTAATACAGGCCTGAATAAGTAGAAATTTACCACGCCAAGGCGATATGATCTCCAGTGCATGGGCAAATAGATCCAATCTAATATAACAATAATTTCGATTTTGGGAATTGTTCTGAAAAGTGTGCTTTTATGCCGAAATACATACAGAATAGTTGCATAGTATATAAATCATTCAAGACCAGTATTTTTATCACAAAAATGACATTCTCATCCAATTTTGAGAGCATTGAAGTGAACGCGGATCAATGTATCGCATCCCTGGCATACCTTACATTGCAATATGTCATTGACAAATTGTATTCCTTGCATTGTCATTGCTGTCCACTTAATCATATGTTATCATTGGAATATGTCGCCGCCGTTGATTACGGCGTCTCTTGTCGCATATTAAAAGAATTTGTAATGTGTAAAGTCGACTGTCAATTACCGGACTGAAAGTCAGATTTCTCGTCGGAATATGAACATTCGTCACGTGACCGCAAATTTTTACTCATCTCATTATACTACTTTCAACTATTTTCAAGTACATATTTCACGCCAAAGCTTTTTAAATCTCGTTTTCACACTTTCTGGGGTCCGGTCGACGTCAAGCCTAGTAAACAACAGCTGATATTTCCCAGGTCTGACATTCAGTGTTGCCAAAGAGTCACTTGATATCTACTTGATTAGTGGTGAATATTGTGGTCGATGACAATGAATTTTCTATATATGTTGATTGCATCATTCAGTTGTGAACAATTTCTTGAATGTCAGTTTAAACAACACATGACACATGTCGCATCGTGTCTAGTTTGTAGTTGATAATATTCATTAAACGTTTTAAAAAGAGTCTTTTCATAATAAAGTTGTCTTTACCCCATGCACTTAGCCTACTTTAGAATAATCTAAGTGCGCATTCTTAGTTATTTCACATAATTTCCATTTTCGTTTAATAGAAGCAAAGGCGCTACAAGAAGATGCCCCGAATGAAGCCCGAACCATAAACGAAAATGGCAGTTTCGAATTAGAAAATTCGACAGACGAAACACCGATGAACGACAATGAAAATCAAAAGAATGACGAATTGGACTCAAAAGGATCCGATTATGCTAAAGTAACACTGTGCAAAACTTGTTGCCAAGAAGTTCCATTATCTGAATTTCTGGAGTCGCAGAATAATCAGGGACAATTTGGATACGTAAATAATGCCCATAATGTAAGTTTGTATATTCAGCAAATCATTATTTTTTCCGTCAGTTTTTACATCAAATCGAATACTTTCACTTCATACATGTATACTGGTAGCTAATTTCGTCTTAATACTCAAATGTTATACTCTTATTCGTGCAATTCTAGTAAAATATTGAATCCATATTCAGTTATTTTTGTTTCTAGGGTCGATATCCCGGACAGATCGCGTACGCTAGTTTGTCAGAAATACGTCAACAACCGGTTGACGACAGAGACAGATTTCAAGATGAATTTGATATTGACCCCAATCTAGAACAAGGTGAGAAGTTTTTCGAGGGTATTATACATAGGATATCATTTTCAAGATCGGTCGCGAAGTTTGAAAATTTGTTTTTATATATTTAAAATATTTTGAAAGCAGATGCAACAGAGATGACTCCAACAACTGCCAGAATTCCACTAGATTCCGAAATCGTGCTCACAACAGGGCAAACTACGACAGAATATACACATCTAACGACTATAACATCCCGTCCAACCGTTGAATTTGAAAAGACGGTGGCACCAGCATTACTGCATCAAACTACATCTATATCTCAAATCGAAGAACAACAAAGTTTACAAAACAAATCAAGTAACACGAGACCGACTACTACATTATTTACATTTTTATCCTCCTTGTATAGCAAAATCGCTCAAGAAGGCAAAAACTCGACTGAGAATCATGAAATAATTGCCAGACGTAAATACGAGGAAAATAGAATGGAATATCAGGATGTTCCGGAAGGAAAACAAATTTCAGTGACAACTTTTGACACGACATTAGCTGCAGAAACTCTCACAACGCCAACAACGAAAATGCCAACTCCAAAGCCTGAAAAGCACGGTATATATTATTGGATCAACTTGTTTACGATGTTACCCTGTGCTTGGAAAGACATAAATTTCATAACTTATTGGGGACTGCCCAAACTAGAGCCATTCGCGTGAATGAATGTACACCAAGTTAATAAACCACGTTCTCAGGTTTAAATATGTTTTCTCAGATGCTATTTTTTTAAACAATGTAGAGCAGTAATTGATAACCAAGAAATCAAAATTATTTCATATTAATATATTTTTATTCTACTAGAGGGACTTGTAAGTGCTACAGTTTTACGTGAATAAACCAAATTTGTTCATTTCTGTTCTAGTGATCCCAACCACATGCGCAGAAATTTATCGCCGCGGTCAGCGAAGAAGCGGAGTTTACAAAATCGGTCCTCCGTCCGGACAATCTTTCAATGTTTTTTGCGATATGGAAACTGATGGTGGCGGATGGACTGTAATACAGAGAAGGTTCGATTTGTTTCAATATCGTCAAAAATTACATTCACATATCATGCCGGATAAGCGGATTTGAAATTAGTTAAAAGCACCACTAAATCATATTCTGTTTGCATTAATTGCATGAATTTATGCTACTTATGATATCCATGGTATATAAATTGTATGCTGCCAAACGCTTGAAACATAAACCTGTGGGGCCCTTTTACACATGATGACCCTGTTCTAACTTAACGTCCAGTACTAAACACTGAAATTTAGAATACGGTGTTTATATTCAAACTACACTTGCACGCACAATTTATTTATAGATATAAATTACTGCATTTTTATACGGTTATACATATATTGGCGTTTTCAATTTTAGACTTGTTGGTGATGTAAACTTTACTCGTGGCTGGGAAGATTATAAAAACGGTTTTGGTTTTGTCAATGGCGATTACTGGATTGGATTAGAACAAATGCATTTGCTCACAACGGGCAGTAACAGGTATTTCCTGCATAGAATCAGAACATATATATATTAATTTATCATTGAACAAATATCTGTAATTCGACATTTTCTAAATCGCAGTGGATCAGTTGAATTATCATACAAAACACACTGAATTATTTTGGCATTACAGATAGAACACCATAATTTTTTTACTCTCAATGATTATTTTACCTAGTTGTATTAACAAAATTAAAGGAAAAAGAGCTTTCATTCAAAGTTAAACATTCTCTGATTTATAATAAGTAATAATATTAACCTTTAAACGCATTGATATATTGTAAATTCAACCAATATATACACCGTTGCTATATATTATTGACCGTACCATTTCTTTATCAGGCAAAAAACGAAAATGTCACTTCGTGTCGATTTGAAAGATTGGTCTGACGTCTCACAGTTTGCTTATTATAAAGTATTCCGTGTTTCAAATGAAGAGAAAAATTATCGACTCTTTGTAAAAAATTATCATGGAAATGCTGGAAACGCACTGCAATATGGGTAATTTTGTTATTTCAATGGTATAACTCGTTAATTGTGTATTGTTTAGGATTTACCAGATATTCAACTGTAGCATAAGTATTTCGGTCAGCGCAATGTGGCCCATGAGTGACTCGTACTTGACTAAAAATTATAGCTTCTTAGATGTTACAGAAAATGTTCTTATAGGAGTCAATCGCCAAATTGGAAATATTCTACATCCGGAATTTTTAAACATTACAAACTGTTGTTAGTACCGCCTACCCCGAAAAATACAGTCATTTTTTTTTCTAGCAGCTCGTATATTTCAAATTATCCATATATATATATCGTAGATTTGTGTCACAAATTGTTATTTCTCGTCGTCCTTTTACTCTCTCATTTCCAGATAAGCCGCAGTTTCTTATACTAAACAGAACTTATGTTACCATAATTTCCATGGCCCGTATAACAGTATTGATATTATGGTTAATCTAATTGTAGTAATATTTTACAGTGAGAGCTATAATCACAATGGGCAAGGTTTCACAACCAATGATCGAGACAATGACGGTTATACTCATGGTAACTGCGGCCAATATTACAGTTCGGGATGGTGGTACAATGCTTGTTTTGCTGCCAATTTGAATGGAAAATATTACAAAGGAAATTATCGTGGAATTCAGGACGGAATATATTGGGGAACCTGGTATAGACTTAACGACGCAGCTACAGACTCGAGACATTCATTTAAATATGTCGACATGAAAATTAGACCGAGCAACTTTCTTTCGTCCACCCGCAGAAAAAATAAATGACATTAACCGACATTTTCTATGTTATTCTCATTTATATATTTAGGATGTTTCTAGAACGTTATCATAAGACTTGTATTCAACAGATACAAAAATATATTTGATTTTGTTATTATTTTACTTTTGGTTTGGTATATTTTGGTATATGTTTAGTATTAACATGGTTTATCAGCATTATTTACATGTGAAACTATTGCTACAATTAAGCTAAATTTCCAAAATATACAAACTCATTATAGAGATATAAAACTCATAATGTGATTTGAAACGCCTATATGATGTTATACATTTACTAAGAATTCAAATATGGAATTGAACACACACTTATAATTTTATTTATTCAGTATTACATACTGCTATATATTTATTTAATCTTGTGATGTAAGACATGAAAATAATACAAATTAGAAAGTAAGTAGCTTCCAATTTTATGCAATTCTTGACATTCCTGTTTCTACAATTTAAATTATTGTTTATTGCTACTGCTACTTGTAATACGGAGCTTATAAAACATAATACCATTTATTGAAATAAATGTTCTTGTCAACAAAATTTGATTGAGAAAACTCGAACTAAGACATTGAACCTAATTTCTAAATGCGGACTAATATGAAACTTTACTACAATTTGAATCACTTTTTATTCAGCCATTTTCCAATCTTCTGGGCTACTGATAGCTTTTTCTTCGTTGTGTTATTTTCCAGTTCCCACAAGCTTTCTCTCGTATCCGCGATTGTTTTGTTTTTCTCATCACACTTTTTCCAATCTGTAGCTTTCTGAAAAGCATGTATTGCCGCATTGAACTTTTCTATTGCGACTTCTTTCTTTCCTATTTCTGCGTATAAAGTTGCTAAAAGTTTAATACATCCACCGTACAGTCGGAAGTTTTCACATTTGTTGTTCATCTCCGTGTTCATCAAACAAAGTGCAGATTCGAGAACCGCAATGCTTTCGTTGTATGATTCGCAGTGGGTATAGCAGAGACCAACATAAAACAAGCACTCCGAGTGCCAAAGAACGATTTCATTCTGATTTTCGGCTGTAATTTTTGTCAAATCGTGAATAAGTTCTTGAAAATATGGGATGATGTGATGTAAAGTAATTCTATGAATATACCCGCATCGTTCAACGACTCCTGCTTCAACTATATCAGTTATCTGATTCACTTGTGACGTCATGAAAGCCACTAAATCGCTGACGTTAGCAGTCATCTGACAAAGTTTTACTGCCGCGGAATGTACGACGACTGCACGGACGTACTGTTTTTCGTGATTGCAGGTGACTCCAAACTTTTCAACCTCCGATGCGGACAAATGCTGAGAATTCAGGAGTTCGGCGATATTCTTTATATTGCTACATGCCAGGTAATAATCACCGCACATTATGTTGCACTCAGTAAGTAAGATCATATTGTAAATCTCAGCAGATTGGTTTGGTTTCAAGTTTTCCAGCTTTCGAAAGTATTTACTAGCTTCTGTGTATTCATTGTGTTCGACCAAAGCAAGCGCACAACCTAGAAAATAGAGGATTTACGCGAGTTAGAAAAAAATAGTCCATGACCGATGGTAATTTTATTTGAGAGCGCAGTGAAAGTGAATACGCGAATGGGGATTACGAAGACAATAAATGCAGGTTTGTACAATATTAGTAACTGTTGTATATTTTTTTCGCATTGAATACGCAATGAGACAAACTAATTCACCTTGCAAATTCAATATCTTCATCTCTTTAATAAAATCCCTGACATCGGTTTTTTCAACATCGGCTTCCTTTGGAATTGTCGTGCAATTGGGAATTTCTTCATAGTCATCTAATTTCAAGACGATTACTTTAATAAAAATAAATATATCTTTGTTATTTCTACTCCCGACAATTTTATGCGCTTCATTATAAAAAGTTTACTGTAAAGCCGAATCATTTAGTAACGTAAAACTTACTCATAATGTGATAGACCTGGATCCCTAATATTAATTTAGTTCTTTTATTCCCTCATACTCATCTACATAAAACAGGTTGTTACCCAATGAATATCACGGACAGTGTTTTGTACCTGATATCGTATCTCGCTACCTACATTGCCAGAAATATAACCACGAAAGTAATGTCATTTATAAAGTCAGAAAACTGACTTTGAAGGAGCTGCTGAGAAACACTGGCATAATAGAAACTGTTATTGAATTTGTTTTGTCTAAGGGCAGAATTATTTATGATTGTTACCTTATTATAAAGTATTAATTTGTGTGTCAATTGTAATTGAAAATAGAGGTGGTTGTTAAAGGTTTTATTTCCTATTAGTTAATGGCGCTGAACAGCGACAAAGGAACATCAACAACAACTATTTTGGGTTTCGAAGCAAGAGTTTCTGATAAATTTATTCGGCAAACAGTTAATAAAACTCCGAAATTGACATTTTTGGTTATAAATTATAGTTATAAATTTACGCACACTAAATCACTGTTAATAATGAACAAAGCAAACAATATAAATTGTGCGGATATATATGTTATTAATACAAACATATTTTTAAAATATTTTGACTTCTTTTTCAAAGCGAGTTGTATTTTATAGTAAGCTATAGTCTGGATGCTTAGACAATGTATAGCCTATGAGACAAACACATTATCAGCACCACTACAATGAAATACAGACGAATAAATATACCTTCATCTTGAAGTTTCATAGTATTCGTGTATTGGACGACTTCTTCAGGTTTGATTTTCTCATCTTGGCATTGTTCTGTTGGTGTAGTGTTATGCGCTATTTCTTCATCAAAACCTATCAAATAAAAACAGACTGTTTTTTGCACTATTTTATCTTTTATTTCGATGCCCTTCATTGCGACCCATAAAGAAAACCTATAGAAGTGCAACTAAGCTTTTTGTACTGCAAGAAAGTTCAAATTAAAATCATTCTTCTGAAAACTGACTTTGAACAAGTGATAGTCCTTAATGAAGTAATTGCATTAATGAGAAGACATATTCATCCTTTAAGTTAATCAATCAAAGGAAAGTCAACACTTCTCAACGAACATCTTGAATCTATCCTTCAAAGTACCATAGTACATCCCAAGATAATAAAAAAAAAACTTATTGGTGAACAGACGCATACTTCGAAATCACACCAGATATGCTGGTGTGTAACAACTAAACTTATTTTGTTAATTTTAATTGCAGGCAACGACAGTTGCAGGCAACGACAAATTTGTATAACTTTGCCATACGTAGCTTAGAACTACATGGGACTACTTTGGCTACATGGGATAGTTTTCTATTCCGTGATTTGATAGGACGCGCTGTTCCAATAAGTAATTTTCAGGCGTGATGTTCTCGCACGCAAATATTATAAAAGTCATGATGGCGACGACAAATTTCATTATCACTCTTGTGATTTCTACGGATAACATCTATTTTAAGTTGAGATATTCGATAAAACTAGCTACATTCTTATCTGAAGACAGTGAGGATAAAATAATATATGCAGAGTCGGGTTTCTATACTTATAAAACAAACTCAAGTCATTTTGTGAAATTACTATTGAATCTCCAGTACAACTTGATTCGCGTTTTTATACGGTAAAATATAAAGGATGTTAGTATGCGATCAAAACAAATACTCACTCGTTTGGCATTCCAAACCTTTGCTTTGATACGAACTCATGGTATATTTTACCAGTTACTTATATTTTAAAAATACCTTGATGAATAATCAGCTTCATTTTAAGCCTATATTTTAAACCAACAGCTCAATGACTTCTATCAACCATTTCAATGACTAAGAACTAGTAAGACGAAGTTAAGTCTACAGCAGTTATAAAGTTATGAGAAGTCGATAAAATATATTTATACCCGGCGAACCAATATACTTGTTGGCATGCTTGACTTGACATCTTTCCGGGTTACAAGGGTGTGTCCCAGGAATTAAAGAGTCCTATTTATAAATGTATATAACCATCACCTCGTTAAAGTTAATTAGCCTTTTATGCATTGATTTATAGAAATTTTAATTCAAAGAAGGTATATAATGTTCAAAATAACCACACATAAGAACGAAAAGTTCAGCCATTTGAAGTAGTTTGAATGTCTTCGTAGACGATTAAGATTTCGCTGCGGCTGAACGGTTGTAGTTGAGATTTCATCTCTTTAGCTCTCGCCATTCGGCGGAAGAGGGTACAAACAGTAGGGTGTTTGACGGCGTCATAGACTCATAATGTATGAGAAGATTCTACTCATAAAACAAATGGAACATAACTGTAATAACAATAAATTTGCTTTGACTAGTATTCATTTTCCCCATCCACAATTTGTAATATATCAAGGAAGAAATCCAGAATATAGATGGAGTATACAGTTGTTGGTATATATATATTAAGACTGTATACGTGGAATTTATTATCAATGATATATACAACAAATTTACCCATTATTTTTATTTTTTTAATTCTAGTTTGTAAAAAGTTTTTAACTTTTTCCTAAGTTATGCCAGTCTTCCGGGTATGTCTGCATTTTGTTTTGTCCGTTTATTGTTGTTTTGTTTTATGCCAGAGCGACCAAATTTAAATTGATTGGACTAACGCTTTTTGACTCCAAGCATCGACAGTAACAATATGCGTTACTTAAAAATACCCGGAAATAACGACGTCGGAATTGTCGGCCAGTCATTGGAATATATCGGATCTCATTTAGGGGCCGGAGTAATCATATTTTTGTCGATGCTGCTTATTTTTGTACGCGCGTTTCGGTTAGGGACGTGCTTGTGCGCGCGACAGAACCATCTGTTGAAAGTTGAGCCCTGGGAAAACGCAAGAATGAAATGCTCATTCGCTACAGGTGAATTATCTCAGTATTGAAATTCGATGGCAAAGGAAGTCATGTTATAGATTCAAGTGGACCGAGATGCGTTGACTAAAACAACGCAAACGTTTTGCTTGGGCTGTTCGCCTGCCTCGGGACCGCAACAATTCTGATGTATGACTAATTTTGATTCCGTGAAACGGTAAATTAATGTTCTAAGAGACTGCCCTTTGCTTTGTTATGAATAATTGAAAGCTTTTAGATGGCATCGAAAACAAATATTTTACGTCTGCAAATCTTGTCACCTCCGACCAAATAGGCTCAAAACATTCGCGATCTGAACGCTGATTGATTGCACAGTTTCGGCGCGCATCCAGCGGTGTGAAAAAATTTCTGAAAATCAAAAAACCGAAATTAAGTAAACTGGTTCCTTGTCGCGGACAGGCCACGTCGTGGCCGAGAATCCCACGTGTGGTTACGAATATTCTACTATGCTAAGCGTAAGAAACACGCTTGCCATTGTACCTCTCATGGTTGACGTAGCCGTTTGCTGGATTCCTCCATTTCCATGTTATTGTCGGTAAGTAGCGTAAGGTTTTGTCGAAATTTCAAACAGACATCTCTTATTTGAGATGGATAATTATTAGAGACTGTAATTTAAGTCCACTAAAAGTACGAGGTATTCTCCACTTCAACTGTATTACTTGAAGCAAATGTGCTCATGTCGTGTTTGAGAGAAGGCGAAATGACCACCACCACGTGGTTACACTGAAAATCCTATCCCACCCTACTTGATTGCAAAATCACCTTTCATACTGTCAATTCGAATTGACATCGATGGAGTCAACAATGGCGTGTAACGCAAATGCAAAAGTTAGGAATAACATACAAACTTCAAAGATACATGAAATTCACCATGCCAATTATTTTAAAAGAAACATTGATCAGCTTCACATTTCAGCTATTTATTCAGATTAATAATTCAAAGATAAGCACATAAAATTGAATACTTATAAAACATTGATTGTATGTGAGAACAAAACGAGTAATATATAAGAACATCTCAAGCAATTCGCCATAACATATAGGCACATGTTTACTACTGCATCCAAATAAATAAAGAAAACATAGTAATGCGTTGAAAAATTACAGTCTATAAATATGATTAATTGCGGGTAAAATGTTGCAGCTATTAGGTTGGTAGTGTAAATGAATAATGTAAATAAAAAAAATTGATCCCAGACATTAATTAACCATCTCATGTATAATTGAGAGGTTTCACGTATGGCTTCATGTGTTGTAAATATACATGATCCCCATTGTATGTTCTAAGATAATTATAAAACTTCAGGCAAAGAGTTCCGGAGTAAGAATCGTAATGCAGGTGGCTTTTTTTTTCAAGAAATAGAAGACAAGATATCTGATAAGATCTTATTGACTTATTTTCTTCCAGATAAATTGGAGATACAATGAATAATTACTGATGAGATTCAATATAATAAACAAAAAATATAAGAAAAAAGTTCGGAACTCTGTCGTACTGAGATTCAAGCATTATAAAACTAATACACAACTTTGGAATAAGTTGACTATATCACAATGAAATGAATGAAGGGCAAAGCCTAATAAACAAGACCAAACTAAGCATTATAAAGTTTAATAACATTATAACAAGTTTCAATTAGTAAAGAGCTTTAAGTTGAAGAGTTGCATTCAAAAACTTGAATCTGAAGAAACATGATGTTCATACAAGCACAAATATAGGATCTAAAGTAGGACTTGCATACTTTACAAATAAAAATATTATTTTAAAAACAAGAAAGTGACTGATATACAGCGACATAAAATACATATCATAAATGTGTAGACATCAGATTGGATATTGCGACATATATCAAGTAAGGGAACTGCTAATTACATCACTACTTTTGTTGAAGTCGTGAAGAAGGACCCGGTTCCATTCCCTTTTGTTTGAAGTAGCGAGTAACTTGAGCAGGAACTTCAGCCAAAACCGCTTTTGCCAATCCAGTTGGTCCATTCATTTTTACTTCATGGAATGGAACGAATTGTACAATATCCCGAATAGCCTTGTGACCTTGGGGTGATTTCAAGACACCTCCGTCTCCATCGAGCATTTCCATAGCAGTAAAATCCGCAGTACCCACCCCAACAATTATAATAGACATAGGAAGGTGTGATGCGTTAACAATTGCTGTCAAGGTTTCCGCTATATCAGTAATCACACCATCTGTAATGATCAGCAGCACAAAATAATTTTGAGGACTTGTTTGTGCGTTTTGAGCTTCGAGAGCAAATTTAGCAACATGTGATATAATGGGTGATATATTTGTTGGGCCCCACAGCTTCACCTGTCTTATAGCTTGTTGGTAGGCCTGTACAATTCCAAGTACACCTTTACAGTAGGGGTTTGTTGGATTAAAATTCAAGGGAAATTCATGTTCAACACGATTTCCAGGAGGCACTTTTGCTCCAAATCCAAAGGCAGGAAATAACTTGTCAGTATCATAGTCTTGTATGACACTTCCAACAGCGAGTAATGCCTGCATATATTCATTGAGGTAATTATTGTCTTGGTAATGAAGAGAATGTGGATCTGAAGGATCTCCATTTGACCCTGTGAAGTCGACTCCTACAGTAAAATTGATTTGCAATCCACCAAAAATATAATTCAAAAAACTAAAAGTCTTCTGAATTCTTGATGCCTGAAAAATAATCGTGCCAGAACCTTTATAGGATGATTTTTTTGCTTTCTTCTTTTCGTTGATACATTTGAATTCTATAGGTTTCACAGCATTTTCTATCTCAGTCACAGAGGTATAAAATTCACCAATAACATCATGACCACCATCATCATCCCAATCACTACAAATAACTTTGATTTTGTTGGAATAATTACCTTTGCATAAACTGTGCATAGGTATTGTCATTGTCTTCCAAACTGGATCAAGGCTATTTTTAACAACCTCAGTTCTGTGAGCAAGAGACCAAGTTTTGTCATCATTTTCTCGCCAGAACTCTAAAAATGGATCAGATTTCCCCATAAAATCTTTGTTATCAAGTTTGCTGCCTTTTACTGTAAGAGCTAATTCATTATTGTCAGAAATTTCTTCCGCTACAATCTTGATTAGACTTTTTCCAGCCTGTTTTTTGCCTTTCAGCATAAGTGCCTGCTGATATGTCTTTGCTGATACAATGTTTCCAAGCGTGCATTTCAATTTCCCTAAGAAATCATCATCTTTTAAGGTTGATGTTGAGTTATCAATATCAAAGACTTGGAATCGTAACTTTTGTATCTCCTCGAAGTAATAATCAATCGTGACTTTTTTACTGAAAACTGGATTCTCCGTGTTTCGAATATGTTCAGTGCGATCCAATTCGAACCAAGTTTTGGAGGATTCTTCAAAACATTGAATGACACAGATTGGATCTGATTTTGACAAGGCATCTTTGCTTAGTAGTTTAGTACATGATATAGTAAGCTCTACTTGTGTGACACATCCTGACGCCATTATTTCTATATCACTAAATAAAAATAGTAGTACAAGGTAGATTACATAGCGAAGCACAAATAGCATTCTATCAAACGAGTTGGACACATTCAAGAACATAGTGCATATGGTAAAACAAGAGCATGAAACATCAAAACAGAAGATGAAATTTACAAGATTATGCTTTTATTGAGAATACTTGATACCAAAATACCTACTTTAAGCATAACATCAATATAAAAATATATTTAACCAATATTTCTGTGATAGAAGCACTGATAATTTAAATGACTCCAATATTAACAGGGCAGCTGATTGCTTCAGAAAGTTTGACATAACAATACATGTTTTCACATCCCTATATTCAGTATTAAAATTTTCAGTATAAATATCAATTAGTATGTCTCCTTGACTTTTCATCAACACAATATTGGAAATGGCATTCTGTATACTACTTTATTTACCCTGGAACAATTACGAAAAGACACTAAATACGAAAGTATAAAATGAAAAAAATATTGTCTATCTTGAATCCAATTATAAACGATTCAGCTTAACGAAATATATATCTATGGAAGAACTCATCAGATAAGACTGAGGTAAGAAAGCCAGATGATGATCCAAGCTAGTAAGTCAAATAAAACTATAGGCCAGTAAAAAAAAACAATGCATCACATTATCTTTCCAAACTGAAAGTAAATAAGTTGAAACAAACAAATGACCTATTCAATGAACCAACGTCCGAAATAATGAGGTATGAGGAAAATGGGTACACATTCACTTCGAAACCGCCCAGAACCAGAGATCAAATTTTTTGATCAATGAATTTCAATAAACCTATTACTTGGTATTTGAACCCCAATCGAATAATATTTAAGAATTCTTTCACACGCAGTAACAAATTTTATCACTTAAAACTGTTTTTGAAACTCTGATCCTCAGTCCGCGAACAATTTCAAAATTTTGAATATTTTATCATAATTTACAGCTAGCAATATTGTTCAGAGCTCGCAACCAAACAAGCTACTGTAGTTTTTTATGCCTTGAAACTCTTTAAGTATTGAATGAAAATTTTGATGGCCAATTAATTATGAGTATAAACAGGCAATTGCTATTGTTGATATATAAGTCATAATGATGTTATAGACAATTAACTGAATCACAGTATATGGCACATCAAAATAAACACCTAAAAAGAAATATTTAGACAAAGGAGAAAGGTACTGAATTGTGTATAATCATCATTGGTATATGTGCTTTGAATTCTTGTAACAAAACTAAGTAAATCCGACCTAATTTAGAAACTAACAATCCTATCACAAGATGCAAATATTACACTCCTCAGGTAGAGTTACTTATTAGCTATGAAAAGAATGACATATCACACAGCAATGATTCATATTTTTACAAGATAGCCTGTACTAGCTGTAACAAAATAAATATACATAAATTTGAAATGCAATTTTATCTAAATATGACATGGCTGAGATAAACGTAATAGATCTACACAAACAAATATCCAACTAAATTGGAAATATATTATGTATCAAAATAGAGTAACACCAAATTCATCTTACATAGCACACCTGAAGCAATAAAATGTCATAGTACATTGTATAATACGAGCTATCTCAAGAGTAACAAGTAGCCAGTGTAAAAGTTTATCGGACAGTGAGCATAAAATAAAACTATTGAAAAACTGCAATAATAATCTTCATAATGGCAACTTCTACATACAACTAAGCCTTACAAATGATAAGAAAGTCAACATGTGAATTAGTTCGAAGATGAGCAATTTTGATCGCTCAATTTACTGATACAATGAAGTAAGATGATTTGAAATTTTTGTTAAAAACTGCATTTGTTCAACATAGTAATAGGCCGTTTTAGCAAGAGCTATTCAAAATGAAACTGACCATTCACACACGATCAAAACAATCCAATTACCAAATTTGATTTTTTACTATAATCTTCAAAAATATGCAGAGAATGAGAAACGGTATCATTCACCCATGAAATTATGTTTAATGAATCAAAGACAGCTCAGTATAGAAGGGTAACATAAATGATTCATGGGCGGAAAAATAAAATACATCACCGAACTGACAATAACATTTTTCATCAAGTTTGCCCAGATCCATGTCAATTGTAAGTTAACTGCAGAGGCTCTGAGGTGAAGCTATAATTTTAACAGGAAATACCGCTAATGTATATGGTAAAGATATGATATGTCGTGAATATAAACAACTTTTGTTTTGATTAAACTGATACAGAGTAGAGAAAATTATTACATACCATAATGAAATATTACAGTGAATACTCTTATTATACAGATTTTTAAGTGTTTCAATCAGATGCATGTGGAGAGCCTAAATTGTAGTTTTATATTTTATACACATTTTGCGAACTATATTCAAATTTAAGAATTTAACCTCACAATTACACAGATAAATAAGAAACTTAGTATAGCCTATATAAAAAACATATTCTGCAATATATTTACAGTATTTATAAAAAATGAGATTCATCTGGAACATGATTAAATTTTTGACTGCATTTTTCATGTAGCCTACATGGAACAATTCTTGTTGTATCTTTTGCTTCAAACGATTTATATATCTGTTGAATTCACTTATAACGTATAACACTTGTCAAAATTGAAACAGTATAATGAGTACAAGATGAAAACAATAGTACGGATCATTGCAGAAATATGTAGCACATCAATATTTATAGCAATGAGCATCTGCAAACCAAAAGCATCTACACTGCAATAATTAAATGAAAGCACAGGTATTTGCCACATATACGCAGTGATTGGGAGGGCATATAGGTTTACAAAAATGAGAAAGAAACAAATATGATGATTTAATGAAAACTGTCGATGACTACTTGGTGCATGTACTGTGCTATTGCACGCAACCAATAGGAAGTCAGGCATCCTCGCAAGCAATATTCCAGCCATTTTTAAAAGCATTGAGTACAATGGAACGAAAGCGATTGTCTCATTACAGGTTTTGAATTAAATCACTTCTTAGCTTGAACCTGCTGCTGCAACCCTTGTCCTGGGTTCATTTTCTTTTGTTTAAAATATGCTGTAACTTGAGTTGGAACTTCAGCGAGAACTGCTTTCGCTAATCCAGCTGGTCCTGACTTTTTCACACTATGAAAAGGTACAAATTGAACAATGTCACGTGCAACTGGTTGACCAGTTGGTGATTTCAACACTCCATCATCACCATCTAACATTTCCATTGCAGAGAAGTCTGCTTTACCAACACCAACAATAATAATTGACATAGGCAGATGAGAAGCGTTTACAATTGCTGTACGAGTTTCATCCATGTCTGTGATCACTCCATCTGTGATAAGCAGCAATATGAAATAATTTTGTGGAGTAGTTTGGGTACTTTGTGCCTGGTATGCAAAACTCGCAACATGATTTATAATAGGGGATATATTAGTCGGCCCCCATAATTTTACCTGGTTGACAGCATGATAATATGCTTGTAATACACCTTCTACCCCAGCACAATATGGATTCTGATCATTGAAATTAAGGGCAAATTCATGGGATACTGTTGCATAGGGTGGAAGTTTGGCACCAAATCCGAATGCAGGAAATAACTTATCTGAGTCATAATCCTGAACAACATTTCCAACTGCTATCAAAGCTTGTACATATTCGTTCTGAACATTTGGGTTTATAAAATGCAGAGAGTCAGGAGATGCTGGGTCACCATTAGATCCAGTGAAATCAATTCCAACAGTGAAATTAATTTGTAAACCTCCCATGACATATTCAACAAAACTGTATTGCTTTTCAATTCTTGATGACAGAAATGAAACTACTCCAGAATTTTTATATGATTTCTTCTTCTGTTTCTTAGGGTTAATGCATGGAAATTCTTTGGGCTTCTGAGCTTTCTCAATTTCATCAACAGTGGTGTAAAATTCACCTATCAAATCATGACTACCATCACTATCCCAATCATTGCAGATAACCTTTATCTTTTTATGAACATCAGCACCACAAAGAGTGTGAAGTGAAATCTGCATAGGTTTCCATGCAGGATTGAGACTGTTTTTTACAACTTCTGTTCTGTGAGCAACGGTCCATGTCCCATCACTATTCTGCTTCCAGAACTCAAGATAGGGGTCAGATTTTCCCATGAAATCTTTATTATCCAATTTGGTAGCTTTGGCCGAAAGCATTAAAATTCGATTATCAGTGACTTCCTCAGCAACGATCTTAATACTTCCTTTACCTGCATGCTTTTTGTTTTTTCCCAACAATGCTTGCTCCAATGTTTTCTTTGAGACTATATTTGCAAGAGTACATTCCAATTCTCCAAGAAAATCATCATCACTCAGAGTTGTTGATGCATTATCAATATCAAACATCCGGAACCTCAACTTTTGAACAATTTCAAAATAATAGTCGATTGAGATTTTCTTGCTAAAATCGGGATCCAAACTATTCACAACCTGCTCAGTGCGAGCGTACTCATACCAAGAATGAGAAGATTCATCAAATGTCTCCAAAAGACATATTGGATCAGATTTCGACGTCAGATCCCGATTCAGTAAATTCCGACATGATATTGAGAGTTCAACTTTTGTCATACACGCCATACTGATTTTCAAGTACTATCTATTTAAAACGGAAAGCGTAAAGGTAATTGAAATACTAGGCTACTATTCTTATCAATTTCATGGCAGAGGAAAACGATCAAGGCTACTAATTACTTAATTAAAAACTTGTAAATTTACAAATTGATATGGAAATTGGAAATATTTGTTTTATCACTAAATTCATAAACTAGTGAAGTTGAGGACAAAAATTCAATACATATATAGCCTATATATGAAACCATATACAAAATTACAGAATTATATATATCTCAGTATCTGTATAGTATCATAGTATAGAGACATACTACACAGTCAGCAAGTAATATGCTTCAAAATCAGAAATACCTGAATACTGAATTGTACTGTCACCTGATACCACTGCTGTGCTCTACTAGACATGTCTACTATTTTGGTCGCCCACTACTACTGATCTTTCTTGTCTCATGCCTGTGATAATTTTGATAGTCTACTTATAAACTTAGATTTGTATTAATCTCATGACCGAGTTCATTATAGAAGTACTATCAAATCTTTCTGGAGTTCTGTCCTAGCTTGTTATGAAAACTACCTCTGTACCTTGAGCTTGAGTTATTCCAGTATTTTTTAAATTTTAAACATACAGACATAACGAAATCTATTCAGCTACTAATAACTTCATTATCTTATTTTGAAAATAGTTGCAAACTTTTTTTGTTTTTTGTTTCCTGCCTGGGATATTCTGATATTAATGCAGAACAACTCTTGTGTCAATAAAGTCCCTTGCGTGGGCAGATTACTAATGCATTGCAGCATTGTCATAACAAACTACTGAACTAATACCGGTACCGTAATACTGTAATAAAAACTTAAATACTGTAAATAATTTATTCAAAAAATAAAATAACTTACAAAATAACTTAATACCGGTCTTACGAACTGAATACAGCGCGAAACACCGCAAAACCGAGGGAAACAGCGCGAAAGAGCGCAAAACAGAGGGTTAGATCAAAGGGGACCTCCAGAAGTATGTGCACCAAGATGGCGCACAACCTGAAAATAGTATGTGTGTGTGTGTGTAGCGGATTCAGGTTGTGCGACATATTGCTGCACATACTTCTGGAGCACCAAAAAGGTAGATAAAATTTCGCCTGATGACCTATAATCCGGTACATAACCTTGTAAATATACCGGAAATAGCGCCATAAAACCATGGCGAGAGGCGCCGTGGTTCTTTCGTGGCAGGAGGTGGTTATGACTGCGTCTCCTGTTTTCCGCTGTTTCCCTCTGTTTTGCGCTGGTTTCCTTCTGTTTCGCGCTGTTTTGCGCTGTTTCGCGCTCTTTTGCGCTGTTTTGTGCTCTTTGCGGTGTTTCGCGCTGTATTCAGTAAGTAGTAAGACCCCTTAATACTGTAATAGAACAGAAATGTAGGAAACCCTTACTCCAGCTCTCTGCGATGTCTACCATGGTTATTGGTATTGTTCCTCCCCACTTCTTTTTTTAATGGATCCACAAGCTGACAAGGTGGTTTATTCAATAATTAATTAAAATAATACGGTAATGAATAAAGACATATGTCAGTACAGCAGTACCGGTGGCGGTTAGACCACGCTTTCTTTTTTTCAGACAATGGTCCCAAAACTTATAAGTCTGTAGTGAGAGCTGATATATATTCAGCATATAACAGTTGGTATGTTATTGGTTTGTTTGACTTATGGGTTCAACGTTATACATACCGTGTTTCCCCGAGAAAAAGACCTAGCCTAAAATAAGGCCTAGCCTAAATTTTTAAACTGATTTTAATATTGGCCCTCCCCTAAAAACAAGACCTGGTCGACAGCGCGAAATTTGATTGAAAAAATAAGATTTGGTCAGACGTCCCTGCTTGTATTGATGAAATACTTCATATGTAAAGATAACGACACACTTTAAAACACACACAACAGTCTTAACACCTGTTTTTGTCAAAGATTCATTTTGCTATTTAAATTGAAACTATTGAGAGTAATCTAATGACACAATTTAGGGTACGTCCCAGCACAGCATTGTAAAACCACCTATTAGAACAGTGATTTTTAAATTTGTTGACGTTACCACACAAAACGTCAAATAGAAAAACGAGTCCCACAGAGGGTTAGGAGGTTAGGATTAGGATTTACATATTTATCCCGGGGGAGAGGAAAACCGATAAGACGACTTATCCATATGGCGAACCACGGCCCCTCCTCCGGTTTCCATTCCAAGTCGGGTATGGGATTAGTTATATTGTTTGTTTTCGGAAGCATGGACTTGGTGGTGGAGGACCAGCGGTTACGTGAACCACCCAACGACGGCGAGGAGTCCAGCAATCCTCTCGCACATAACCATCACTGCATGGGATTCGAACCTGCGAACCCACGCAGAGTAATTAGAGGTGCGGTGGGGAGCGTATTCCTAACGCTTAGCCCGTTGAGCCACACCGCCGCGCCGACAGAAAGTTTTGAAACAAATAAAAGATATAGCCTTTCAGCAACAACAACATCTTTCCCCAATAAAAATTCCAAAGCAGTTGGTCCAGTAGTGAAATAATTTTCACAACAACGAAAAGAAAAATACAAAATGACAAAACGATTCATGGGGCCATTTCGTGTCCGATAATTGTGATTCATCTGGTACAATAAAACATCATGTAGGTGAAAAATTACCTAGAGCGATCGGCTGTGATGCGGAGAGTGCTAAATCACAAGTCGTTCGAAATTTTTAATGACGCAAATGAACATATATATTTAAAATCAATCGGTAAGTTTATATTTTACGTAGTCAAATATATATCGAGTGTTTTTTATTCGATGGAATTTGCAAAGGATTAGAACAAGAGAGAAGAGTCAGGCCAACGAATACGGCCATGGAACTACTACCCCACCCCAGGGGAAACATTCGAAAAGATATATTAAGCAGCTTCGGGTTCGGCAGCTTTGTCTCTTGATCTGGTTTTTGGTTCGAGTTCGGGGTTGATGACAGCAGCATTCGTAGGCGGAAGTGGCAGTTGCGGTCGAGGGACCTCGTTGAGTGTTTGAATAGCTTTGCACCGTAACTTCAATGCTGTTAAAAAGAGTCAGTCGTTAAATGTTAAGTAGCATTTCGCGTGAATCAATACTTTTAAAAAGTGTTACCCGGTTGTGGTTAACGGTTACAAACAATTTTGACCGCTAACTCTGAGCACAGAAAAGATATAATGTCAGATTTAGGCACGCGAATGTTCCATGCCATACGCGTTTATTGCATAGAACAATTGCCAGTAAATACAAAAGAGCAATGCTTTAATATTTGGACACGAAAGCCAAAACAAATTGGTATTTTTGTATAATGTGGTAATACGACGCTCCGTCGTGCCTTTTGGCTAGAACGAATTCAGATAAAAGTAGCCACTGATATCTAACAATATCTTAAATAATCGCTCTACAGACGTACTTCGCTGCCGAAGTTATCAAAGGCGCGCATTTTCGTGCATCTCGTTTGGTTCATTTCGTGAAAGGATTATGGATGGCAAGCCCGGAAAAGTCCGATTATCAGTTGATCGTTCAAGAATAGAGCTAAATGGTGTTGGAAAAGGCGTATGATTTATGTCTTACTGCATGCAAATGCCGCAAAATTGCATTTAAAAAATATACTAAAAAAATCGCTGTGTTGCGGACAAATTGAAAATCGGAAGTAAGTGCCCATGAATGAATATTAAATCAGATCATGTTTTAAGTTCACTGAATTATAGGATTCGCAGCAAAGAGTAGATTTGACTAAAATTAGCATCATCCCGTCCTGGCGATGAGCCATATCGTATCTATATTTCGGTAAACAAAGGACAATGCTTTCATCCCGCGATTGACTGCTATTTGAAGTCTGGGCAAAGGACGATTCGAGCCATGAACACTTTCAAGATATCATTTTACACTTCATATCCACAAAAGTAAAACATTTTTGTTCTGGGTATTTTCCTCTATTCATCCTCATAACTTCTAGTTAGTTAAGCTTGTGCCAACCAGTCCGCTGCGGCCTAAATCATTGTAGCACAGCACAACAGCGATTATTCCAACACAGTATATTAATAACTGAGGTTTTTTGTAAAATAGGTCAACCAAGAAAGGGACTAAAAGGGTCGGATGCATGTGGCAGTTCTTTTGTTGCAATTTATGTCGTTATAACCAGTAAAGCATCTACGGGGTTGGTGGTTAATATCCCCTTTGATAACGCATGTCAATTAAATTTGAAAGCATAATCTTTGCTTCACAATAACGCAAACAATTCATACTATAACAATTGAAGACGGTTGCATTTGCAAGTACGTATCTGCATCGATTTATGTTTTAAATTACAAAACTTTGCCTGTTTTGTTTGAATGTATATTTCGATTGATGGCGCTATGGAGTCGCATATTACTTGTGATTACATATTACCTGATGTCATGAGAGAAATTTAATAAATCCCGCCATTCTGAATCTGTAGCGTTTCGGGAAAGTTAGCAAACATGAGGCTGGTGATACTTGACAATTATGATTCAGCAAGTGAATGGGCGGCAAAGTATATTCGCAACAGAATCATTGATTTCAACCCCGGGCCTAACAAATATTTTGTGTTGGGTCTGCCTACTGGAGGAACACCGAAAAGCACATACAAAAAATTGATTGAATTTCATAAGAAAGGAGAACTTTCCTTCAAATATGTCAAAACCTTTAACATGGACGAGTACGTGGCAATGCCGCGCGATCACCCGGAAAGCTATCATTCTTTCATGTGGGATAATCTTTTCAAGCATATTGATATCGATCCGGTCAATGCTAATCTTCTGGACGGCAATGCAAAAGATTTAGTGGCAGAATGTGAGGCATATGAGCAAAAGATCACCGAGGCAGGAGGAATACACCTTTTTATTGGAGGAATAGGCGAAGACGGACATATTGCATTCAACGAACCTGGCTCAAGCTTGGTATCAAAAACTCGAGTAAAAACGTTGGCACAAGATACAATAATGGCAAACGCACGGTTTTTCGACGGTGATCTACAACAAGTACCAAAGCAAGCTTTAACTGTTGGTGTTGGTACAGTGATGGCAGCAAAGGAAGTCCTTATTATGATTACTGGAGCTCGAAAGGCATATGCTCTACATAAGGCAATAGAGGATGGAGTCAACCACATGTGGACAGTCTCAGCTTTTCAGCAGCACCCCAAAACAATTTTTGTTTGCGACGAAGACGCTACGCTGGAATTAAAAGTTAGAACAGTCAAATATTTCAAAGGTCTTATGGAAATTCACAACAAGCTGATTGAATGAGAATTTTTTGCAAACCTAAGCTATTGAACAACATCGTTTTATTTACCATCTCCATTCACAATTCCGTTGTGAAAATATAACCCATACGTTTAATGATTAACTGGTTGTAACGAATACGATTGTTTATTGTGTCACACAATGTAATTTTGTATTTAACTTGCAGTATACAATATATTATAACCTGTAGCAGTACGATCGAACCTATAAATTCAGATCGGGATGTCTCACATCGAACCGTCGATACTATTTTATGGCAGACGACGTAAAATGTGTAACAATGAAATTGCGGCGTTGGCCATGGCACCGGGCGTATTTAAAACCTTAGCCGTTTGAACAAACATTCTCAAACTTTTTGTATTTTCAATATTTGCTGTGGATGCGAAAAGACTATTCAAACTTAGACGCATCGATTGGCCGCTTATAAACACCTATAAACTGCACTAGATGTTTTCGACAGCATTTGTTAAATTAATTCTCATAATATCATGCATGTCTTTATTGGTAGTACTTTATGTTTACACAGTCCTTGTATGTTGGTATTCATCCCACAGTTACAACAGCGTGGTATTCGGATATTGCCCAATCGCGTGGCCCGTGGATTCCGGCCGCAGACAGAATTCTAAGAGTATGAAGTTGGTTTTTTATGGCCATTGTGCTCAAGAGTCGAATGCATAGATCAGGGGTCTCAAAATATGCCACCGGTCACTTTTTGAACCATATTGACGACGCGGGACACAAACCAACAAATTAGGTACAAAATTGATAAACAGAAAATAACAAAAGAAATCTGAATGTATTTGTTGAAATTACACTCGAATGTTACACCAAATGAGACATGAAATATATTCATTTACTTGTGCTGAATATTAGGCACCGTTTTGTAGAGGTGAGAGGTTCGATATATGGCCTTATTTTGCGTTGGTTTAATAGTCTTAAGACAGCATGCAAATGCTCGTCCGTTAGTGCGGAAGACTGATTTGTTAACTTTCATTGTTTATTAAAAAAAATGCTCGAAAATATAAGTACTGTCAAACTTCGCAAGTATGCGACGTGAGTGTGCAATCAACTTTGGGAACCTTTCTTCGGACACAATGATCTGATCGACACTCGTTTATTTCGCCACAATAAAAATGCGAAATGGAATTATTAAATTTACAATTTAAGTATTATAATAGAGTAAAATATGAACGGGATAAAGTGGAATAACGAGGGTAAATTTTGTTTCACTTTTTACAGTTTGTCTGACCGGACTCTTGATGTTAAATAACACGACAAAACGTACTCATAGTTGACAGCGTACTATTTTAGTTTTTTTGGTGAAAAAATCTCAACCATGACGCGGGCCGAAAAAATTTGACTGGCGGGCCGCGTGTTGGAGACCCCTAACATAGGTGATTCTGAACAAAACTGTTTCTGAATAGTTTTTCCTATTATTTAATTGCCGTTTAGAAAAATCGTATTTCTCATGGATATTCATCTTTACCACCCACATCGCTATTTCATACTTTTGAAATTACTCGAAACAGTTTCTAAGTCGTCGTCTTCTCATTTACGTTTATATATCGTACCCTGTAAATGTGATGCGCCCAAAATGAAACCATTCGAAATGGGTTCAATTCGTCCTACCTTAATCACTATACTCGAGAAAAATACAGAAATATATCAACATAGAAAATAATTTATTATAAATAATATTTCTTTATGATTTTGTTGTCACGAAATAACGGTATAAATAAGTTACCAATAATAGGACCTAACCTAATTATTTGCTGTGACTTTGTATCAAATGATCAACTTTGAAGAAGGGAATATAGATGCATATTTTTCATACCCACAAAAAGCCGCCTTTTGTCCATCAGGCAAATAATATTTGAATGGAATGAATTCCCGTATAGAAAATTTTTCGGTAATTAGAGTTATAGCCAATATGCAAAAAAAAGATAGAGCTCAATAAGTGGGTACTTTGTCTATGTAGTTTGAAGAGTATTTTAGGTTACGGTTAAGAATCTCGGTACATTGGGCAGCGTCCGATTTCCAAGTTTCAGCTTTTCAGAATACGTCATTTGAATTTTTCCGACTATGTTTTGCTCTTTGGCACCATTGCCATTAGTTTATGTATTTTGATGTGGTGAAGAAATGAAAAAAAATAATACCATCAATTAATTAACGAATTTAACTATTCACAATGATAAACGTGAGACAGAGAATAGAATATTGAGTAATATTAAATTTGGCAAGTTATTCGCTTCCGGGAGATTGGCGGTTGTCAAACCGCTGTTGCCCTCACCACGTTTGATGTCTTATTACCTTCTGTCGTAATAAATGCATTTTTTGACAATAGAGGCTCCGAAACTGACGACGTTATCATAGATAGCTTACTGTCTTTAGTAGAAACCCATAAATGTGTATTATAATCTTGCTGATTCCCGGGTTCTAATAAATCGCTATTCTCTTGCTCGAGTTCAGGTCTCGAAGTAATTTTTTCACGTAACGCCAGTGTTTCAAAGTGATTATCAGACGTGGAATCTTGTGGTGATAACTTGGGGCAGTTATGAGAGGAGGTAGCATCGGCACAACTTTCTGTACATTTCACACTCTCAACGATGTTTTGACTTGGTTCGTCATATATTGCCGCTAATGAAATGTCCGTTGTAGTTGTATGATTGATAACATCTTGTTGACATAATGATGGAGATTTTACGACTTGGGTAAAAGCTACATCCGGTTCCATCAGCGGTGAATTAAAACTTAATTCCTTATTCTCTGTTTCAAATTTCTTCCTTCTTGCACGGCGAGTTTGTAAATAAAGAGCAAGTATGTAAAATAACAAACTCAACACTAGGAGTCCTCCTGTGACAGCAAAAAAGTTTCTTCGAAGACGGTCCTTGTCGTAAATCTGAAATTATGAGAAGGCAATATGCAAATAGCAGATGTTAGTACTGCTCATAATCTCGCACTTTTCAAAAGTCAAACATAGAGTGTTGAAGAGATGTGTGAGATGTGTGTTATGAAAAATTTAAACTCTCTAAATAAAGTGCCACATCTTCAGCTCAGGGTTAATTTTATCAAATCATGTTGAAGTGAAACGTACTTGTTGTTAACAACGACTGATTTACAAACATACCTCGCAATGATTTCTTTCATCGTTTCCTGTAGTGCTTTTCACGTCTTCCTGATGAGGTATTCTTCCCGGATAAGACCATCGTAAACAGGAGGAGTCGATTACGTATCCGACGTATACAGGAGCTGGAATCCAGGCAAGGATTCTCGTAAAGACAAATACAATACCGATAGCAAAAGCCTGTTGAAGAAAACAAATATTTGTTCACGGCACAAAAATTGACGAATTGTAATGGAAGGAAAACTATAGCGCAATTGGCGAATTGGCCCCAACCCTACTTTAATGAAAGTTCTTGTAAGAAAAATGAATGTTACCAATGATGATGAAGATTTTAGTAGTTTTGTCTACCTCGTATGGATTTTTGTCTTTGACATAATTCCAACCACAAGTTTAAAATTGCCTCATAATCTCACTTCTCCACTAAAATTGGCGATGAGAATAAAAACTTACCTTTTCTGCTGGAGGTACAATGCGCAAAATAACTAAAGTAGATGGAGTTGAAGCAAGACCAGCAGTTAGACTCGCCGTTCCCATCACGCCCAAGAAAACTGGAAGATGCGATTTCGAGCAGTCAGGTCGATGGCACGGACCACGAAATAAAATCGCTCCTTCTGAACCCCATTTGCGTACAGGGGTAGGCGTGTCTTCAATGTTCGATGATGATTGGTTTGATTTCAAATTCTTTTTTCCGTTGACGCATTGACATCCAGAATAAACCTGAAGAAAGTGAAATCAATTAAGCTTAATTCTTAATAACAAGTTATAATATTAAAAGTATTCCTATCTATCCTTTTGCTAAATTGTTGTTGTTGGGCTAAATAAAAACGATAGTTTTCATATTTTTGGGGCTGTTCGTAACCCATTGAATTATGTTTTCGACCATAGATTTTGACGAGCGAGTGCTCAACCAAATACGCTTGTTCACGGTGATGGCACCACTTCCATGTTCATATATTTAGGTGATGTTATCAAGTGTGGCATATTAAATTGAAATATACTATTCGCCACTAAAGTTTTTTATCATTCGCCATATTCATTGACCGATGTACAATCTCGCTGCAGACTTTGCCCACGTATACATATGAAATGTAAAAAATTCCGTTAACACCAGCGTGACGTTTTTGACAGCGTGACACACAATTTCCTCTTTCGACTGAAGCCACATGATTCGAATTTTTGCCTATTTCGAAAACTAATGGGGGATTAAAAGATATTAGTCACAAGCAGTTGGATAGGTGCAAGAGAACACTTGCCAAAAGCTTTCAGGATTACGACAGAGGGATTTGCAATAAATCGTCATTCGTAAGCTGTAAATTTAAAGTTTCCACTTGACGAATTATTCTGGCTGCTGCACAACGCTACAGCGGAGCATCTGATGTGATTTAAAATATAAAAAGTATTCAAATTTAAACCGCAGATCAATTGTAATTCACTGAAGAATCCATTTAATACGAGAATCATAAGTTAAATTTGACCTGACGTTGTTTTCAGTGAGTATAAGTTCGTTTGAACTCCGACTAATTTGCATAGTAAGCTATTGAAACAAATTCAAGTCAAAAGATATATTAAAATATTACTACCAGGAAAAAACATTTTTGGGTCTTATTGAAAGAGGCTATATTCACATTAACGTTATCTTTTTAATGTATTCTTATTACCATCTGCATGGGGACGCCAGACCCTGCTTGTTAAATGTTTATCATGGCGACGGCGTATAAATTTAATCTTACATGCAAATTTATTAATTTATTAGTTATCTGTAGTGGCTGACGTGACTACTGACGTGAACTACAACGTTTTTCCTAAATATCTTCCTTGAAAGCTCTTGGTTTACGTAGTAAGCTCATGGTAGGATTTAACATCGAGAACCAAAAATGACTTAACGTCACTAATCCACGCATTACACAGGACTCGCGTGAATTTTATTCGGAAATATTTGACTTTTTAAAAGTGCTTAAGCTGGAAATTGTCGTATTATTGATTTTTTGAACTTACTTAATGCCATTGTGATGGTTTTGGCAGTCCGGCAATGGATACATCAAAGGGAAGTGTCTTGCGTACAAGCTGACGCTGCGAGAATGGGTGTAATGGCGTGCACTATCGCTGTGTGGTTTTTACACAATTTGACCCCTCATATTGCTGTATATCATGTTTGAGTATGTGAAAATGAACGTCATCAAGAAGATTTATGTGTGGCCGGGTCTCAAAATAAACGATATAATAGTTTGAGTATTTCTGTCAATGGGACGTCAGTTTACATTATTCATGCGCACTTTTGCTCGTGGGTAAATTGCCGATGCATTATTGAAGTGATTGAAGACAGCTTATATTGACCAATGGAAATGGCCAATTGCTATAGTTGTTTCAGAACTTATATCGTGGGATTGTAAAGTAATTTTTAGTACTTCACTTGGATTAAAGGTTACCTTATCTGACGTCAATGGTTTTAGATATCATTTTTAACGTTTTTTTTCTCACCAAAATATATATAAATATAATTTGTTTGCGCCCGCTTTTCTTCTAGCCTTTTCTATGCATTAGGGGAACATAAAACAACTTAATCGATTGAGGTATAAGGCTAATGCACCAATATAAAAAATCTTTTTCGTCAAAAGGGTGTCATTTTGACTCTATATTCAGATATGAGAGGCTGATAATAAAACATTTACAACGAAAGGTTTATGAAAGAATTTATTGAGGCATAATATGAGTTTCTGTTACAGATTGTCGATAATGCTTATTGAAATTGCGTGAGCGAAATACGCCAATAAGATGTCCCCAGCCTTTGCCTCAAATGAGGCTCAAGACATGTAATGAGTTGCTATGCCATGTGAGCACCGATCATTTTTTAGTTCGGCATACAGTACGCCCAATTGTTACGTCATAATTGTAAGATATGATTTAAATGACACAGAAACCAATATTTGATATCTATCTTCATAAAATTGTTCCTTGAGCTATGTTGTTTGAGGTGTGGGATTTGCAATGTGATGTCATAATTTTGGGAACCATTTATTTTTTCAGGGCTGTTTTATCCGATTTCGCTTATCGCAAGTTAGGTTAGGATAAGATAGATTAGGCTTTGCCCCCCCTTCCAACTTGCCCTAACTTAGGAACACAAATAAATATAGTGGTGGGGCAATGGCACGATGGCATCAAATATTGTTATTCAAAAGATGATTTGGTAGCGTTGTTATTTTTAATATCAAATTATTTAAACGGCCATGTCATCAATCGGTTTAGCATTTTTTGAAATTTGGTGTTTGTTTAATCGTACGACAATGCCCTTTTTACATACCTCAGTTTTTCTCCAAGATCTTACGTCAACGCACCCTGCGTGACAAGGGGATCTGTACGTTACGTTGGTTGTGACATCACAAACCGGTGCGTATTGTTCGTCGCAGTTGCAATCCGACGAGCACTTGCTACTGAAAGAATAAAAATTGAGATCATTTTCAAATTTAAAATTTACGTATAAATATCATACTAACTCAAATGAGTCTTAAACTAACATTTTTCACATTGTGAATGATTATTGAGGCAGGGGAAGAATTCATAAATATAGCAGCAACCTTATTTGCATTCAAAACAGTTTAGTATTTTCATCATGTTCTGGTACATGTAAGATATTAGAAACAATCATTTATTATGAATGAGTTCACAAGGCCAAAACTTTGCCCTATGGTTGTGACGTTAAGACCAGTAATGCAAGCCAGAATATTGCCGTCAAGGCAGGAATTACTATTGGCCATGCTAAGAAATGAATGACACATGTTTTGATGACACTATGTCCTCTCGTCGACCCAAATGTAGTTTGCGTATTCTACTTGCGGGAGAAAGAAAATAAGTCATAGATTTGAAGGATTTTATGTCAAAAATATAATATTTACGAGTATAAAAGGGTGACATAATTCTTAAAATATCCGATTACAAAAGGGCTAATAGAATCACTTGCAAAACAACATCTATAGACGATGGTAAAGATCACGCACAATATTTTATTCAAAATACGACGTCTTGCGCATAATATGCTTTGCTAGGAAACAGTCGATATATGAATAAAATATTTCTTGAAAAGGGCAATGTAATCTTCAAAGCGGGAAAGCGTTTCGTCTCCATTCAGGAAATTTTATTGAGATGAAATAATTTTAACAATCCCACCTATCTACATCCATTGAATATTCCACAGTGGTTCCTTGACTACATTTGAAAAATAGCAATGTCGCCACACAAACGATTGTCATTGCAAGTCCAGTAACAACGACCGCCATTGCCCGCCTAACGTTCAAATTGAATCGACGAATCAACCAACCACCAAGAAGATTTCCAACCACAGCCATCGGTAGATTAATAGAACCTTTCCGAAATAAAGAGAAAGGCATTTTAATCGTGAAAAAATCGTTCTAAAGCAACTCTGGAATGAATAAACAATGTTAATTTTTTGTTTATATCGTAATTTCGATATTTTTTTTAATATTAATTACGTTCATCTATAGATTCTATATAAACAGTTTACAATACATAAATAGACCCCAAAAAATCTCCAGGTTCCTGTACTTGCTGTAAATGCTTTAGCAGTGCTGATTCTGTCGAAATTTTAGAGTAGGTATATACATCCGAAGAAGTTTACATATTCAGGGCGAAAATTCGTACAATTTACTTGGTCGAAAGCCCTGAAAGAGCTTTATAGTGCAAATGTACGGCTACTACTATTGGATATGAAGATTTTCAATATCTTAGCATTAAATATGCATTATAAAATAATATTAAGAAACTCATTTATAGTCAAAATGTTTACGTTTTGCGTGGCTCGTCTAGACAATTCCAGAAAATTTGATGATTATTATTACAGCAAATTTGACGATGCGCTGTTGTACAAAATGAGAAATATCTTAGCCAAAACGAACATTAAATGGCAATTTTAATCCAATGAGCTACGGACACTATATAAATTGGCCTGTTTTAATGAGAATATTGATCTTTATTACATGAAACATACTTTTCGTAATATCTAGCTGTTTAGTTAGAAAGAATAAGCTTCACTAGTCGACTAAAAAGTTGCAATTCGATCCCGACAGCGATTCACGTTCATGATGGGTGTTAGATTAGCTGATACCAAAACAACATGTAAACTGGATAAACGTGACTTCATTAATCGGGATATTCGAGTTCAGTTTTGGCATAATTACTAAACAAAGAATTACAAAAACAATGAATAATTCTCTTACCATTCAGCAGGTTGGCAAATGACGCAGTGACACTAAATTGTGTTTCCATATATTTTGATACATAAGTGACGGATGCGGCAAGAAAGCTTGTCAGGCAAACAAATGCTAAAGTTATGCTCAAGAAAACAACATCAGTCAGGAGTCCTTTGAGGCTGGTTGTGAAATCTGCCAAAATGTAAGATAATCTTCAAATATAGTCTGCGTTTCCGTAAACTTGATTTCCAGTCCCTAAAAGGGGTTGCTAGTTTTCCCAACTCTAGCAATTTATATTGTCTTGTAGATAATTGTTATTTTTAATGGTATTAATTATGTATCGTTACATAACGTAAACGGCCATATAAATATCATAACAGCTCGATTTGAGAGCGTTGTTTAAACATGATAATATGATTTTAGTTTCCATATTGGTGATACCCTGTTTTTGCGCAGTTAATTTATATTAAGTGTTTAACATCTTAGTTTGGAACAAATATTTATAAAAAAAGTCACTTGAACACACACAGCTACTGACTGTTAAAGGTTTCTAATTATGCCAAGTCTAAAACTTTAAATTGTACAACTACAGCCCACGGAGTCCAAAAGTGACATCTGAATCCGAAAAATCAACGAAAAAACAACTTCTGCTGACCCTCGCAACTTCGATGTCACAAAAATTTTGACTGGCTCCGGACTCGGACTCCGGAGGCGTAACTTCAAGCATTTATGGTTCTGACCTAAAACTAAGATAGCATTGACCAGGCAATAATGACCAATATTTCCAATTTTGAATAAGGACACAATTAGTCCGAAGCGTTATTAACATGCCATCACTCTCTTAGACATTTTACAACCTGATGCAATGCGGGGATAAATGCATATATATATGTTTTCAAATTAAATATTTATATCAAATATTATCTCACCGAACAGTGCTAGTTTTTCCATTCGGCTTGGTCGGCGTGAAACATTCAACTTTGTATTAGCATCGGACTTCTTTTTGCAATTAAAAACTTTGGATTGCAATTGGGAAAAGTTTTTATGGCCATCATTTGGCATCGAAAATGATTTTTTCATCGCAAAAGTTTGTGAAACGATAGAATGGCGACTTGATGATGGAAATTTCATTTCACTGTAACTAAAAGGAATTAAGTTTTTAGAGGTAGTAACGTCACTACGAATGTCGACGTGGCCATCTTTTGGTTTCTCAAGATAACTTATCAGTCTCGAAGCCTTGGCTTTGTCAAAATTATCTGTAAATCCAGTCTCTGCTTCTAAGTATGTGTCGTCTTTTATTACATATTTCAATTGGTCGTCCCAGGTCTGGAATGCACTTTTTGATGTTTGTACTTCGCTATTTTCGTTTTCTAAATGATTCTCATTTATCACAATTTTGCAACAGCAGATATCGTCCTCCATGACTTTGTTAAACTTGTCCTCTGATTTGGAGTTAATGGATTCCATATCTGATTGATCATCTATGCTCGAACTTGATTGGTCAGTATAGCACCGTCGGAAACACGTAACATACGAATGGTCTGTAGTTTCTTCTTCGTCTTCTTCTTTTGGCATCACTCTGAAAATGTATAACAATTTGATAATTTGCCTCGATATAAGGTAATTGGGAAATAAGGACCATCCATCTGTATTACAAATTATAAGCAGAATCGTAAGTTTCCATAGCTAGAACCCGAAATACTCGCCCGAATTTAACAAAAGATATTTATTCGAAGCGAGTTTCTTCAAAAATATTTGTTGGTATGTGACAATATATGAGATTAAAAACGATGACATAGAATGTTTTTTTTTAAAACATCGCTTGTTTGCTAATACAGCACAACCTTTACCCGGCGAAGAATATCCAGATTCCAATATTATGATCAGTTTGAATTGCATCTATTTTGGAGTTCTAATATTTTCAATAAATCGAATGGTCAATTTTTTCACTTTAAGCGAATTTGACTGTTTAAGCGAATTTGACTGTTTAGATTATTATGCATTCTTCATTTCAAATTTTATTAGAGGGAACACCCTAGACATCCATGTTATCGAATCACAGTCTAATTTATACATGTCTGCAGCAATAACAAGACAGGGCCTCTAGCGCCAGAAGCAAACAGTTACAAATGTACATCGTGCATATTCAAATGAACCTCAACAACATTGGGCGCAAGCAATAGATTTGTCTTCATTTTTAAACCTTTGTCCTACGTTGTGGCTTATGGTTATTATATTGCAACATTCTAGATCTATATTAGTAATAATGACGCAAATTCGCATCCACAAAAGTGTTATAGCGTACGTAAGAGCTTTTGAGTCGATTAAATGCCTTAAGACAACACCGATAATCCCTACTTAAACAAATGACCGATGAATTGCATTCCGAGTACCCAGAAAGGGGAAAACACTTTTAAAATGGACTGATGGATGTGGGAGAACTGTCGATCATTATCTTAAGTCCATTGAAGAATTACTGCCTGGTTTTTACATCCTGTATAGTCCAATGGAAAAGATGACGGCGTAGGTGAATATATACTATTTTTGACCAATTACGCAAAAGTACAAGTTATTGGTAGCCTATAGGTGCCAGCGTGTTCACGGAAGCTGATTTGTCCTTCTGAAATGTTATACGTTAGGTACGTTGGGTGCAGTAGTTTGAATATTTATTTACTCGACTGCACCTGTGACCTTGCTTTCATCGAACTCAAAATAAAATAATTCCAGGTGTTACATTTGGCCTGCTAACGCTTTTTGTTTTCGATAAGTGGGCATGTTCATATTTAGTCATGGCGCTTTCATGCCCCATCAGAAATGTCTTCTTAATGCGGACATTTAGCTGCAGCGTTTTTACTCTAAGTAGGTCGCGAGGACAAGTAGACATAAAAAAAAATGAGGATTCCCACGACAGTGCCAAAAGATGTCACTACAATATGTACGTGTATATAAATCACAACTGACACTGCAATAATTTTAATTTACTAAATCTAGAATCTACTTCCTATTCTAATTTCATCGACTGAGGAAGACACCCTCCAAACCGTTCGTCACAATGGTGCTAATTTGATATTTACAAAATAATCCGTTTAGGAAATTCCCGGATATTCTACGCTTGCACAGATATGCTAATTTGTATGCCAATAGCGCTTATTCGCCATAAGAAACAAATAGCAAATTGATACTACCATTCTACTAAGTTCTTGTTCAAACGAGTATGATTAAATAGCCCTCGAACGCAAAAGACATGTTAAAATCCAGTTACATCAATTTCACTAGGGTTATACTGATGTATGCCGTTATCAAAGTCTATATATTATTTTAAAACTTACCTAGGGAATAAGCAGAAAGGTATTGTTGCAATAAGTAGCAAGCATGCTGTGACGACGTATCCGACCCACCATGCCCCGACCCAAAGGGGGTGATGGGGTCCAATCTGTATTTTTGATACATCTACCCATCCCCAGTCCACCCATGTTCCAGTGGTAAGAGATCCTAGAATGAAACCGAAGGCTGGTCCGAGCAGTGATAAAGCTGACACAACACCTGGAATATGAAAATAAAAGCTGTTATTATACCGACAAAACGTTGACTTACGGGATTGATACTTAAATCATTAGGGTACAACTCGACTGTCAAGATACAAGTGGCTTCTCACTCTTAATATATAAAAGATATACGCTTTTCAGTGCTTCCCAAATTGAATAATGTGCAAATTTTATTAAAATTATATCTATCCGTATGTAATTTCTCGGTGCTGTTTTAATATTCTTTATCTGATTGTTTTTAAGCTTTAAGTTAACTATTTTTTACTAACATTTTATAAAGAGCAAATGTTGACACAAAAAGTGAGAAGATTTACTGATTCATGAAAGTGTGAAAATTCATATATATCTGAAGCTACTAATTCTTGCACACGTCACGCATGTCAATCATCAGTTATCCTCATACCCGACCCAAAATATAACTTAACCAGGGGCCGTGACCCGCTATAAGATTAAGTCCACAGGATTTCTCCATTACGCCCGAATGCTACCCAATAAAAACAATCATAGGAGCGTAAACGCAATTCTCGAAATTGGATTGCCAAGATACATGGATGCCAAATCCACTAAATGATTTTCAATGGCGGGTATCCGCTCGGAAGTTATTGGACATCTGAAATTCGTCGTAATGGCAACTAATTGAAAAACATGAAAGGAGAATTAAAGATTGAATATTAGATTAGAAACTAAATTGGCTTTGGCACATATAGATGGCAAATAGCAAATATGGGAAATTATGATTGAAAAGTGTTAATTAAATTTGATATGGTTGGAAAGCTACCGAGATTGATTTCGACTTAGATAATTCAATCCCTGCCTGCGTAATGAATAAAAGACTACAACGGAACCAGCGTTTCGGAAAATAAAGTAAAATCAGGCCCACGTATTTCTTCTGTACCAATTTTTGTGAAGGAGAAATATAAACTCGATCTTCTACAAAGGCCTAATACTGAATAATGCTTTTTCTTAACCAGAAGAAGAGTTACAAATTTGTATTTGTTTTTATTATTTAACATTTTAAATTAGGGTGGTCCGAACCGCGGCCCGCGCACACATTCCGTGCGGCTCGCAGAGCAATTTTAGAGTGTACTAAACAATTGGCAGATATTTTCATTTAAAGGCAGAACAGTTTTGAGCTATTTTTCCTTCCAACTGGGAATAGCTCTTCTCCTAATTCCGAAGTCGGATTGATGTTTGTTAAAATCACGGAATTTCAATGTTGTATGTATAAATGTCAAGACGGTAACAATATGGGAATGACGTCCTGTGATCGGTACAAGAAGAATGAATTTTCGCGCTTTTCATCTAAACTTCGTTAAGCCTGCGTCAAGTAACTCCTCATTTGGAGAGACGTTTGTGCCTTTATTTTAGTGAAAACAATCCTCTATTTTCAAGCGTTTGCCATGTGACAGCAGCGACGAACCGCGGAGCTGACTTAGTGCCGCGCGATGCATTTTTTTAGCTGGGTCCAGAGTCCCAACTTGGACGGACTTGGTTGTTCTTTGACGATAGCACCAGACCTGCTCACGCTACAAGTAATAAAATTAGTCAAATATTACAATTCATCCTACAATGAGCGTAAAAAAGGTGACCGAGGAAAACTGGAAGGAACGTATTTCCTTACCCACAACAACGCTAAACAAAGGTGTCTGGTGTGTGTTTCAAGTAATATCTGTCACGAAAGAATATAACGTTAAGCGACATTAAAAAACCAAACATGAAAGAAGATACCGAAAATACCACGGTATTTCTCGGGAAGCAATTTTAAAATAACTAAGGCTTTATATGTCTTCCTTAAAAAACTGATTGGAGCGATAAACTATCATTCTTGAAAATATTTAAATTGGTAAAACTCGCGATGTTTTGATCATATTTAGCTTTTCTCTGGCTGCGCCCGCGAGACATCCTCAAAATATTTGCGGCCCGCAAACCTCGCAACCTTGGACCACCCTGTTTTAAATTGTTCTTATAACCATCATATTAGTGATATTTTTTCGGAAGATAAAAGGTTGTCTGTGAGTTGAAAATATCGTCTTTACTGAATAATTTGGAAATCCCCGTTAACTTGATTTGCTGTGGGAGTCACTATTCGCTGGCTGAAATTTCTTCAAATTTTCCCGCAGCTAATAGTGAGTAACGAGCAAATAACATCCCAGTCGGTTGAAATAAATTTAAAAAAACGGTTTTTCGTTTTTCAGTATTACAAATCTGTACTTGGCTAAGGCAAATGCAAAAATATTTATTTTAAAAATATTTATACATACTAATTATTTATTTATTGTTTTCAGTTGTTATATATTGTTTTACTCTGTGGGGCGATTTAGTAATACTGTATACACTGTATACTGTACGTGATACAGAATATTTAAGAATCCTTAGAGTGCCCGAATAATCGGTAATTTTTGTCTTTAATCATTTTTGCTCAATCATTAATAATTTTCTATCTATAGATCGCACCTGCTGAATTACTTCTGAAATATCCCTTTTCACTTATACCTCGCCAAATAAAAGAATGAATTATTAAAATTGTAATTTGTTGAATATACCTTTGACATAGTGCACAAAGTTTTGACGTAAATTAGAAAAGTTTGACATCGACAAAAAATAAAATTGGTCACTAAATTTGGGTAATTCGAGTCTGATGAATTTTCAAATCAATAAATATGTTACTTAATACATTAATTCAGTGTTTGTATACTTTATACTATATATTAATGAATTTCAAGAATGAAGCGTAACCAAGAATTTTCAAATGAAGTGGGTATTGATTAATTGTTCGGTAAAATGCGTACAGTCAATCCAATCAATCGCGCCGTTTTACAAAAATATTTTTGTCTGGCCTACTTCTTCTAGTCTAGTGGTATTTAGTTAAAATGCTCAACTATAACTAATACGAGGCAGCTTCAGTGATTTTGAGGATTTTGATGAGATTGTGGTTTAAAAAATGGAAATCCAGTATGCAAATATTATCAATGCACAACGATGTCAAAACGAAAATGTTTTCTTAAAAAATAAACCGAATACCAGGAATTACCGAATTGATTTGCATATTGCATGCGATCATCGCACGTACGATTTGAGAAGCCTTGAAATCGTTTGTTAATCGCCCAAAAAATGCGATAACCTATATGTATATATATATCTAAATAAAGGTTGTTTATTCATAATCAAAATAAATCGAAAATTGTAGTAGTTATGTGAAATTTGTCATCTTCATTTTAGAAGCTAGATTTAGGTCCAACATGTCACAATGGCAAAAATAAAAAAATGCTATATTGCGTGGTCCAAATAGTTCGCATCACACTTTCACTATTTTATTCTAAAAAGGTCTTGTCTACAAGTGACAATAACAAAAGAAAACTTTTTGTCCATATTCAAATTGTTCTTTTCTTATCGGTGTTAGGGAAATTTGACTTTGGTCAGACAAAATGTTTACGTTGTGAAGCATTGTGTTTTAACCACTCAACAACAATATTTTGCTCTAATATAAAGCAATTAAGAAATCTGAAATCGAAACTAAATGTGAACTAATGGGAAATAAACGGTACTTCGGGAATATATGAACCAAGATGGCGGACATAATTTTATTCCAATTTTCCTTATTTCAGTTCTATTACGAGTTCGGGGACTAGCCAAGTGACTCCCGTAGTATTTGTACTTGAAATTATGGCCTAACCTTAACCTGGTACACATACTACGTTCCGGTGTCCGTCATCTTGATTCACATACTTCAGGAGTACCAAATAAACAAGCTAAATTGGTTAATCAATGCTTTCCCTTATGAATGCCAATAACCTTGGTCATTGTATTTCAAGCTACATCGCGTCCGGTTGGATGTGACCTCGATGTCAATCAAGAATGACCTTTTGTAAAGTCATTTGGCGCCGCCTTATCCCAACCAACAAACCTGGAAGCGGTAAACTGATAATCTGTCTACCTATTAGTGATAAATGTTCTCCCTCATATAAAAGAACATTTGGAGCCAATTGACGACAGATTATAAAATATTTGTTGATACTTCTCAACAAAGAATTAATTTATGGATTGAGTTTAATGGAAATAGCAGAAATATACAAAATAACGAGCCGCACTCAAGTTTAATGATGCTGGTTTTTGTGTTCTGAATATTGGATTTTTCCAATTGACTAACGAAATTTCTATGCGATATTATAATCAAAATCAAATAAACATACAACGACATACCGTATTATTCATCTAGAATTTAAATGCATTATGGTGTACTACAGTAAACTGTGCTATGTTCTTAGTAATCAGCTTTGTTGATGCAGATTTGGAATATTTGAGTAAGTTTTCCAATAGTATATTATGATTAAACGATAACAAAATCCATTCATAAACAAATATTAATTTATTTTTTATACAGAAAAGGTACCGAGAAATCAGCTGAAAGTATAAAGAGTACTATACAGAGAGGATTTGAAGTTAAGAGCGATGTCATCAGATATGTATTGGAATAACAGGTTTCGAATTTTTCACGTGTCATGGTGGTGACAATAAAATAGTTTTCATCGGAAATAAAATGTGATCCAATATTCAAGTGCCACAAGGAGGTAATATTTTTCTTTTAACAACTTCAGTAAAATGAAAAAAAAAGATTGCTATCTATTTTCAAAAGAATGCTATGAAGGTATTGCATCGAATAACTTTCCACGTCTTTCACTTGTCAATTTACTGTTTTATTCAGCGAAGTCTATACGATTGATATTACTCAAGGGAAAACGATATGACCAAGCTGACATGTCAAACCAAGTTGACAGTATCCATGTTATCTAAGCATTGATGTTGTACGAAGTAATTGCTAATTACTGTCTTAAGGGTACAATAATCTCAGCCAAGAATTGTGTCTATATTTACACCTACCGCAGTATTGAATACTGATAGCGTTTACAACATTGATGCGGGTAACAGTTTTACATATGTCTAGTAGAGACATAAGGTGGATATTTGCGCGAAACAAAACGCAAAACGGTCATAAATAAATATTTTATCGTCTGAAGCTTTTGTACACGAAATGTATTTGTGGGTCATTTTGCCAAATTGTTGTTGTCGTGGAAAAGGATACAATTCATTTAACTTTTGGCTGGAATTGACATTGTGACATTGTGGCGGCTATATTATTCATTGGTATTGTATTCGTTTGATAATTTACCCTAAGAAGTTCTAGTATTTAACATGGTTCCAAATAAGGAAACCGACAAAATAATACCCTTAAATAATATAAATAGAAAAATTAAATAAATTCCTGAAATTATGCCATATTTATTTCTTCTTAGAATTAGTTGGCTTTGATAATGACAAATGTTTCTTAAATTATTATAAAAAGACGCGGCGAGCGATTTATGACAAAGGAATTTAAACATACCTTCCTCATTTAAAAAAAACGCCAAATAAAAGTTTGTGACTAACTCTAATGAGCAAAATCAATTTATAAAGTTTAGATTTGAAATTCTGAGGATTTTGATCGGTACTGTCAGTCAATATCATATAATTAATATTTTGAACTATGACGCAAGCCTATTTTCAATTTGGTACATGGTGTCCATAAAGAACCGTATCTTGACAATTTAAAAGCTGATACCGTGAGGCCAAAAGTGAGGCCATTTTAAAACAAGCTAGCTGTCGTTTATGGCCGAGACTACTGACTGATATTTGTTTTAAATGGTAAAGTGACTTACTTTATAGACATCGTGTATAATACACACTTACCGATATACACAGCTGAATTCCTTGGTGTCGCAAAGTCGTCTACAAATGACATTCCCAATGGATGAAGAGGCGAATGACCCATTCCCTTTAAAACGCTGCCAATAGCAATAAACACATATAATGATGAATCGTCCCAATAATCATCTTGTTCCGTTTTGTCAGTAATCTCGCTTTGATACTTGTTTAATTCCTCTCTCAGTTGTTGCGGTTGTTCGCTCCCTTTCATGTTCGCCACTTTTTCGACTGAATACTGCAAGAATTTTTTAGGACTCAATTCTCCGATGTTCAATGTCTTAGACAACTCAGTAAGTTTCCGAATAGGTTTTTTTGGCACACACAGTTTTGTTTTTGTTTTTCTGAGTGATAATAACGATAATGGACTCCTATTTCTCCAGTTATCCGGCGTGGCCTGATCATCGACTGGAGGTAGCGGTGGTTCAGAAGTCTCGTTCAAAAAACTGTTTAATACTTCTTTCATATAAACTCGGGAGCTTATGCTCGGCTGTATATTTTCTAAAGTAGCGGCTTCTCCTATGTTGTATCTGGATCCAACAAATTGTGGCATCGCAGATAGAAAACTGGAAACCGCCATTATGAGAGATCCAATCGCAATTGCACGGGGCCTGTGAAATATAATGACGTGATAAACATGAAAACCATAATCCGAAACTGGTGAAAAATGTTCTAAATAATGCTTTGGAAGCACTCACGAAGCAGATTGTATTGGTATTACGCGTAACATCTTATTTATAATCTTTTTTGCACTTTAAACATTGTTCTGGGCTTTTATACGAAGTATCATCAATTGAACCTAATGTTATCATACTTTATTTACTGGTGACTATGGTGAAAAATGCATGTGGAATCAACAAGGGAACACTATGGATTACTTGAAAATATCTGATAAACATACGGAATAACTGAAATCTTCGTTCGTGTACGTATTTGTATGCATTTCGCTCCAAACTAGACGATTTAAGTAGTGGGCCTACTTCAAATCGCCTTTTAAAGTTTATGAAAGAGTAAATTATATATATATATACATATACATATATATACGAAGGGTATGTAAAAAAAAAGACAAGAAAACAGTATATTTTTTCTTCTGATGATGATTTGAATGCACTTGTGAAAAAAAGCTGGCTATAAATCCAAATATAATTTCCGTTTTGTAATTATGTTTGTACAAAAAATATCTCGTTGTTTAAATAAAAATTTCAAACCTGTTCCACTTTGATCCGAAGTAACTGACAAACAAAATAACACTTAGATTTCCAACGTGAAAACAACTTTGCAAAATTCCTACAGAAAATGTACTTAATCGGTATCGACGTTCTATAGATGTCAACGCACTTTTGCTGTATCTGGAAAATAAAAGCCAGTGCTAGAAAAATCGAGCAATGTTGATAATTGAAGGCGACAAGAAATGACTTGTAAAAAACCTTGCATATACCAGTAAATTCAGAGTAAAATAAAGTATTCTTGTTTTTAAAGTGAATACAAAATTTTACAAAAAATATTAAATTTTAGACATCGAATTTTTGACTCTTTGTTTGTAACGCCATGTTGTTGAGAAATTCTAAATGCTGTTGAATATTTTTGAAGGATGAGATACGGAGTTTTGATAAATTGAAAATATAATCATTAACATAATATATAAAACGTGAAAATTTCATATATTTTTGTGATTTAATCTCGCATTTTGGCCACCATAACCATAATAATACGTAATATCACGAAAGTTTGATACTCAGCAAGCATTTGTTATAGCTGGGATAGCATTTGTAGCTGTACCAACTAATATCGGAAAAGGGGTAATTTTAATATACTTTACGAGGTGCTACATTGATTTTTTTTGCCAAAATATCGTGTACAGAACATCAAAACAGTGTTTCTGAGAATAGGTATTTATAAAAGGAGATGATGTATCGCTAAAATTTTTGTCACGTTGTGTAACGTAACTCGATATTGCGATAAAGGTTGTAACGTGTAACAACATCAATATTTTATAACTTATGTTCTATTTTATCCCATGTACTATGACATACAATGTTCTACAAAACCTTTAGATAATTAGAGAGAACAAGGTATTTGAATTTCAATTTTGAACTTGAATAATCAGTACAAAGCCGTTTCATTGGCATGGGTATTAAACAAACGGCGCCTGGCAATATATGATCTACCGTTTCATTTTGTATAGATCATGTAATACTAGTTCAATTCCAATATTGACTCAATGTCAATTGAAAGGCTAAATGTACGTCAATAAATGAGTACGAAATAAAAAAAAATCGACCGAAATTACTTCGTCTGCGTGAAATACATCGTATTAAATAATAGCACACATCACTGAAAAAGTTTGGCATCATCGTTTGTTGTTCCCTATTATCGGGCTCAAATTGACAAAATGGAAGTGTTGGTATAGCGGAAAGCTCGAAAAACTATCGCGCTTTCCTGAGCTTCGACGAAAATTTACATTAGGACTCTAGGACTGTGTCGATATTAATTAATATTACAACAAAGTATGTTCGAAATAAAGCATCGAGGTATATTTTCATATATTGATAACGGCTCAAAGAAACTCGTAACGGCGTGCTGGGTAATGATGAAGCCACCAGATTAGTATCTGACAAGTGTGGGTGAAGAGAGTTTATGAAAGTATCAACACACAACATCTCACACAAAGGTAAACAATGTTGGTTCCTTGCACAAAAACAGCAGTAAATCTACTTAGTGGTGACGCAAATTAACGTACCAGATGCATTGCCTACCGGAGTGGAAATTCCACGTCAATATTCAAAAGATCAAGGAATGCCTAATCAGGAATATTGCCATCAGTCACGTACAGCCATACATATTGACCATTATATGATACAAAAATGGCTCTATCGAAACTGTGCAACTCCAGATATAAGGTTTTAAAATTTAAATTCTCTCACAATTCACCCTCAGTGACCGGGTTGTTGGGATAAAAATGTTTGATTTCTTCAAATTTATCTGATAAGAAGGCACTAATTCTATTTACTCCAAACGCTGAAAATTCTGCGTGACTATAATACATCGCATACCAAAAGGGAAACTTTACTGCAATCATTTTCGTGGACTCAAGTAGCGGTGAAGATGAAAAGTGTTGCGAATAGGACATTGTTTTGGGAAAAAAATAAGTGATGACTAAATGACCCATTTGACGATGACGATCCGAGTGGCGAAACCTTGTAATTAAAGTGCCGTCAACATACTATTACATTGCTCCGGTATAAAGCTAATGCATTACCCTGATGGCTTTGTCCTATTTTACGAACAACATCAATCAGTTTAAGTCAGCTAAGCCGATTAATGCTGCTTTCGCTTCAAAGTGTTTGACATTTTATTCCTTAAAACCAAATGTCCAATTCTTCACCATGCTGGTATTACGAAAGACGACGATAGGTTTGGAAATTTCGCTAACAGCTTCAACAACGTCATTTAAACAAACAGGATTATAGCCTGAAACCAATCTGAAACGGAGCCAACGTTGGGCATATATAAGAAGTACATACTTTTAAATTGAAATATAAAATGTTGATAGTAAAAATTAGCATGTATGCTATCCCCGATATGTAATCCGTAGGGAGAAATGAGCAAACATAATGTATATTTCGGAATGTTCAAAATTCTATGGAGTACATGACTGATGCGAGTTGTAAATGTACGCTAATATAGTATATTTGAAACCAAAATATGTTTTTGAGTAAAACAGAACAGATATAATTCAAATAAACGACAAATCACCTCCACCCACGTACGCTCAACAAATTTGTTCAAATTCGGGTCATGTTTTAATTAAACAATTTTTCAGCTGATCTCAAATTTGAATCATGGTTGAAAGCCTGGTCATATAATACTTAGAGTTATAGCAATAAGTTAAGATTAATACAAAACTTCTGACTTGAAATTCATTTTCACAAAATCACCTAACCAACCACAGGGTCTAAGATCTTTTTGAATGGGTAATTCCAGTGTGAGACCAACAATGATCGCTATTTGTAACGAAATAACGCGGTTTATTTACGTATAGTTACTAAGTGTCAAAGTTTAGTATATCATGCATAAACCAAAGTATCGGTTTTCAAATACAAATACATTCGACTCAGATACGATTTACGCCTGAATGAAATACCAACCAGAATTAAATTTTATAAATAATATAAGTGCAGATTGAGCCAGATTGATACCAGGAATTCTTTCATCGGTGGATTACACAGGGGGTTTTAAAACGACGTAAACATCGGTTTTAAGAATTGCGACAAATCCCTAAATCCTAAGATTTAACTCACAGACTTGAGAAATTTCACGGTCTAATTAAATAGACGTTTGACAACCAATCATCGTTAATCAACACCTTTTTACGAAGAATTTTGTTGATCAGCTTATAGATGACGGAAATGGCTAAATGCCTATTCAGAATCACATTTACGGCAATACGTATAAGAATATAAAAAGTAAGAAAGGTGCACAAAAATGCGCTTTCAAAACAAATACCACTAAGTCATAGTTATGGGTGGGTCATTGCAATCTGGTGACTCTACGAGGGAGGTCAATCGAATGCAACTACACTACATCCCTAACACATGTGAAATCCACTCAACTTTTATTTCTAAACGAAATTTTAAAAAAATTCCAGTTTTAATTTATTTTTATCGGAAGTCTTTCTTCACTGTTTTTCAAATGGTTCTATTGTTCGTGAATTCAAGTTCAAGCAACTTGCATTTACGGGGAATTTCGGTTGCATATGGATATTGAAAAATAATAAGAACGACCGCATATATCACCGTTAGAAGGGAATTTTGGAAGACCTACAGTTGTTATGTCATTTTTCTGAGGCGTATAAAATTTGTACCCATTTGCACCATAATTTTACAACCTTACACAAGTTATAATTATGATCAAAACGACGGTTTAACCTCGAACGAGGTCAAATGTTTCACAAGTTCCTCTATAATTTATCATCTGACGAAGTTAAACTAGTCATAACAAATGACGATTGTTTTGAAATACTGCGATAACACGACTTTGACAATGTAAATTATATGGTCAAAAAAACAACATTTAACAGATTGATTAGCAATTTTTATACAAAATTATTTCCAGGACGATGAGCTTGTTGAAATGTCTACTATCCGCATAAACCGCGTTTCTACGCTGTACCTAACATTTCTAACATACTTGACCGATTACGATACTGTGTTGGTCGCCATAACTTTCATCGTACGTCGCACATTCTTTTTAATCAAAATTTAGATTTGGAACTCAAAAATAATGTACACGTTTTGAAAAAGCTACAAAATATCACCTAAATCAATAGATTGTCGAAAGATAGTTAGTGGAACCAATCTGTATTTTGTATATCTATATATACTAAGACTTGTGATATTGATTAATTATTGGTTTTGTTAATCAAGGTTATACAAAATCGTAAATTATTATTTGTAATGAAGTCATAATTGCAACTCGATCTTGATCGATGGCATGTTATTTATATATGGAAATTGAACTCACTGATTTTAAATAAAATAATCGATAAAACAGTCGAAGGTCATTGTGTTTATGAAGAATTTATAGGGTTGAAGTTTTACTTTATTATTATTATAGATTCTGCTGTAAGTGGACTCACTTTGGCGTGTAAATATGACGTGAACTCCAGAAACTCCAAGGTCGACGACTCGAGCTAATAATTTTCTTTATTTGAACTCTAAAATAGTTTTAGACATTCTTAAATTCCAATCCTTCAACGATAAGTGTAAATAGTAAGAAATAGAATAGTAACAATAGGCCACTGGCGCGCAAAAAGCAATATACATGCATGCTTGTATATAGCGTTTGAGACGAGACTTGGAACAATTACGTTGAGAACAGCTATGTCGAAAAAATTCCATAAAAGATTGTACAGCCCAATTTATTAACAGTAAACTTTTTTTTTGCCAATTAGAGAATGTGATCTGTTCTATAAATTTTCTAACTTCGAATAATGTTTTTTGAAGTATTCCTGTTTTCTGATTTTAAACTTAGACAACTTAATCTTATGGTGTTAACCCGGACCAGAGGGCTGGCCAACCTTACAGTTTTTTTCGCGGGCAATACAAAAAACGTCTAACCTCGATCAAGCTATGATAAATAAACGATATATAAACTTGAAAGAAAATTGTTAATCGTGCTAATATTCGAAATCCACCCTAATTAAATTTACCATGCGTTTATTCTACCCCCAATACCTAGTACATATCTATTGAACGTTGTTTGAAGGAAAAATCATCTTGTTTTCAAAACAAATATTATGAGAGCCAAGCGGGTTTGAACAACAACGAAATATGGTGAAACTGCTAAAAAGAAATTGGTATTGTTATAGTATGGGCAATAAAACATAGAGAAATCCTTGTAATACCAGAGAACATCGGGTTTCGCAAATATTTTTGCGCAACAGTGTTTGTTTATAACGAGAGTCGCTCGATTTATAACAATTTGTTTCCAAAACAGCATATTTTGATTGTTATATAGTTCATGGACATACATTTATTGGCCCTCATTTAAAACATATAAAGATTACTGATATCAGTACATCCCTAACACGTCAGGAGATGCATATGCGTGTATTGTGGCAACAAAGCAAGCACGTATGTCGATTGTGAAAGAAGGAGTCGATCGAAACGTTCTTTCGAGAACAACGTGCGAAAGGCGTTTTAAAGGATATATTAAGGATATAATTTTGTGTCACCATTGAGTGCCCGCGATGCTGGTAAGGTTGAGACAACTATGCTTATAAATATCACCATTATCAATATATGTCTCGATCTCAGAGCATATTTACATAACTTTTACAAAATTATGCGTGTACGCACCAAAAAAATAAACTCGAAGGTGAAAAAATAAACAGTCAAAAATGGAGTTACCAGTCGCAATGCCTTGTATATTGCATTTATGTATATATATATGCAGGATATGATGGTGTACCACTGTATTGAAGAAAATTTCTCATTATAAATGAGAATGACTTTAAGATATTGTGTGAAGTATGTTCCCTACCTTTCATTTTACCACTGCACTATCATGCACTATCCTTTTTTGTCATAGTGATATTCTATCTTTCCCATCAACTCCCGCATCCCATAAATTTTTAATAGAAGTATGGAGTAGTAGATGAAACCTATATTCATTTATCCAGTACTTGAAGTTTTTTAAAAATACGTTCATACACAAAAAATTTAATGCATATGTACTAAACAATATTTTTTTGCATCACAATATATTGAAGAACCTAAAATTAGAATTTTTAAATTACCACTAATGTAAAGTGTTATTTTCTAATATCTGACGGACATGATTGTGTGATGGATCGGCTTGTCTTTTTACTTTTTTTATGACATAATCATTGAGATTTTAATTTGTGCAGATAGTATTTGGATATGTACAACCTCAAATGTGAAGCAAATCATGATGCAAAGCGTAAAAACTAAAAACATTAATTAAAGCTTTTTTATTTTAAATGCTACGACGCGACATACAGTGAGTGACAAAAGGTACGGTAACCATCAGTAGTATAATTGACCGTTTCATCAATTACATGCATATCCGCGAAGTATATGGACGTCTAGACGGCCATAAATATTCATATTTCCTTCCATTTTAGCGAAATGACCATAAAGAGCGCACATCGAAAATCGATAATCGTTGATTAAGCGTCCAAAACTCCGTAAAGTGCTTCTAAGTTTTTTCCCCTGGGATTGCAAACACCTTTGGCGAAGAAATATAGTCGTGAAGACCGTTACGGCTTTGTTGTCTTGACGACAATTTTTCATTACTCAAAAATTGGAGCTTGGCGAGAATTATAAGTTACATGTTGAAATAGCTGAGCCTACTAAGTCAATATATCGTGCATCATCAACGGACAGCTTCTCTGGGAAATTATGAATTTTTGCCATAATCTTGAAGAGAATGTGAAATTGGATCTCCATAAGATTGAAAAATGTGCACGAAAACCCCCTAAATATTTCAAATTTGAACCCCGCGATGCTATATGTTACCAACTAAATTACGAAAATGAATTAGAAAACCTCGTTCACTCAATGGCTGAATTACTCAATTTTACTCCAAAATATACAAAAAATTGGCACAGGTCCACACTAACGTCCCACTGTTAAAACAGGTTAGTAACCGAGAAAACACACACACAATTGGAAACATTTAGCTTCACCAAATGTGACTTGTAAAATCACAATGGGAACCATAAGTCGGCCTGTTCACTAACTGAAATGAATCATTTAAAGAAAGAGAGCACCTCGGATTTGATGACAAACTAAAATTAAATCATTCTTGACAAAAAAAATATTTGGTTCACGGAACTGACTTTGATATTGCTGTTCTATAGTAGGATTCTACTATCTCACTCCAACACGGCAAAATGGGAAAGTTTAAATAAAATGCTAATTTGCACTCACCCACTCCCCATCACTTGAACCAGTTGAAGCATCGATAAACATATGACGAAAGTCCGTATGCTTCTGAATACTTTCGTTGGACTATCCTTCGTGTTTGATTCCATAGACTCTCTGGATCTTTTAGAACATTTACTGCATCTACTTGTTGTTCGTATATCAGGCACAAGTCTATTTCTCGAGTCATTTATCGTGTTGTGATAATCGGTTGAACGGCGAATCGGATTAGAGGCAAAGCATCTTTCCGCTTGCACGGCTTCCATAAGATTAGCTTCGTCTCGACGACTTGTATTCTCGGTAATGTTTTCGCAAATTTCAAGATCTGGAGTATTTATAAAATTCTCACTGCTGCGAAACCCTTCAAATGTTTTGGACAGCGGCCGGTCCGGATTTTGTTTCGACTTTTTCGCTGATATGTTGTCGTCAGGTCGGCGGCTGTCGAGGCAATCAGCGGCATTGGAATTTATCATTTTCGATGACTGTAGGTTCGAATTTTCGATATCTTGTGTTATATCCGGAGCATGTTCGCTCTTGGCAATCGATGATTCATCCGATATAGAGTCCTCAGTCATAATGGCTAAATAAGAAAGAAACAATCAATGTTGATTTAACGCTTTACCTCGGATGTAATAGCAAAGAAAACATAACCTGTCCTGGTCCAAAGTTAGTTACTTAACCATTAGCTTTTAAAATATTTAATAGAGTTCACAGATTAAGTTTAAGCGATACAGTTTTAAACAATACCATGAAACGAATTGCTCCTTGACACAATACAAGATTTCCCGCCGAACGCCCAGTGACGTGTCTTGCGTATGCATTGCTTGCAATAAAACATGCACGAAGCGTCACGGCGTTTTCGTCGTTCTGCTGGTCGACGCAGCGAAAGGCCATAAATAAAACATCATCCGCTCAACGAAGATGAATATTTTACCTCATGCCTAATAAAGTGAAATATTAATAATATTTGAAAGCCGCCAACCTTAAATAACTTTGGGCTATACCAAGGTCACCGAAAAGTAAGGAAATAATATTCGTATAAATAGACACGCGTCGTGTTTATGACTGAATGAATTATTCCAATTTTCGAAAGCAGGAATCGTAGTTTACTAATCAACGAAACGTGTCTGTCGCAAAACGTCCGTGAATGCACTCTTAAAATATCATGGTCCGATTTGAAGGGATTATTCTTTCCAACGAAACGGCGTCGCAAAATATTTTTCAGCGAGTATAGCGTAAAATCAATACACGCTATTCACGTACCCTATCCGCAAGCAAAAACAAACCTTCAAAAGAGGTCTCTAAAAATCTATACTATTGAATATTATGCATTTTGTTGTGATATCATTTGCACTCTATCGGTCGGAATTTATTTCCTGTCATAAACGTCCAGGGTGATATCTTCTCTGTAGCGCCCCCGATCAATGAAATTACTGTTATATATGACCAAGAGAACAATAAATAAACCTCTGGTAAGCGTTAATGTTAAAATCAAAATGCGAATTTTAAAGCATTTTTAAAATTTGACCTGCTTTGGATCATCATTCCCCCACCCCAAAATTCGGCGCAAACTTGCAAATTTTCTTCGGTTTATATAAACTACAAAACATAAGGATGCTGGGATTTGATGGAAAGGTAATAAGTGCAATAACAACACAGAATGTTCACATTTAATTCGATATGTAACCTAATTTGCTCGTAAGTGCGACTTTGATAATCACTTTCGGCTATACAGCTCGTATATATGTCGCCTCCAGCATTTTGAAATTCATAATCTAAAAATCATAATAATCACCGACAATATACATATATAATTAATCGTAAGTAAGAAAATTGCTTCTATTGTTTTTACTGCAATTGTGAACCCATTCACAACTATAAAGGCTAATTTATATCTTGTTGAAAGTTGGGACCTCTCCTATATAGCGCATCAAATGTATTATTGTTACATTGTTGTATTGTCTGGTCATATTGGCCTAAAACGATTCCTCATATTTTGGCCCTTGCAATAACAATCGTGCGGTTTTGGACGCCACTCCGCAATTTCTTTAGCCCTCTCCATATCTGCCTTTCTAATGCCCAAACTGTCTACTTCTTAGCGATAAATTCAATGAGTAACGAACTACCGATACGTATATGTAAAAAATGCTATGTCTCTAAAATTAACGGTAGTCAATATTAAGGTACAAATACGCTTACCTCATGTCATTTACAATCTGTTTGTCTGTTCTGCGTTCAATAGAGACTGACTTCAGTTGTGCTCCATGACAACTGCGGACATCGGGTCATAATATCACGGTCTACAACGATTTATTATATTCACGCTTACTCTGTCTTTTGAAAGTCAAATTACTGGAAAATTAAATGCAATATCACCACATTTTCTTAACAGAGAAATCGCAGTCGTAGTCTAAATCGATTTCAATCTAGCGGTCGTTTTTGTATCGGTACTTAGGTGTAATTAAACTGGTGCATGTGCTCGTACGCCAATTACTTATCGATTGAAGAAAAATTACAAAATATTTCATTGATTTCAAAGTCAAAAGAACGTTTAATTGTTTTCATTTGCAAATTACTTGATGGGGCGGAGTCAATAAAAGTACTTCTCGGAGTATTGAACGCTATATCATTTCTGAATAGTACAATATTAAGCGATACTGATCTTCCCATGCGGCTTGTAAAATTTTCGCACACTTGTATTCTAACTCAGAGCACGTACACTACTCACAGGGTTCCTAAACATTCGTCAACTTATAAATATACTCACTATTTTAATGGTATGGTAACCTTGTAGCCACGTCGTGAATTTCCAGTCCTGAACTTTGACTTAAAAACACAAATATTTTGCAATAAAAATTAAATTAAATTTGAAATTATTCCTCTCATCCGCATAAGCATAGAATTACCTAAGCATTTCCAAGTGGCCTATAATTATTGTTAGAAGAGAAAATGTAGGTATTTAAGCACCGTAATAAATCCATTCTCTATTTATCGCATTCCATATGGTGGATTATTTTACATGCAGTTAAATCTCCCAGGTAGAGATTATTTTTTATTACCTTTGATCATAGCCGCCCACTGATAGCTTGGATAAGGCGATAGCATCCCATATGCACGCGTAAAGAGCAAGTCTTACAGGTAGGACTATCAAGTTATTTTGATGAATTTGATTATGTATACATTTTTTTTAATTTCCTGACGCTTACTATTTTATAAAGTTAACTTTGTTTTATACATATATATACTGAGAACTCAATCCGGAACTTGTATTCACGCCGTGTACCTGAGTAAGATGTTACACCGCGTTTTTCTGTATTTAACTCGAGTTCCTAGCGTAGCGTGGTTGAAAAAAGATTAAACAATACTGTAGTTTTAATTATTTGGATGATGTTTTAACCCAAGGTTCAGATTTTGAAGCAGTTTGCGCGAGGTTTGCACCAGTCTAGAAAAACGAAGCAACCAGGGCCGAGTAAAACGGAGAGAAGAGACGAGTGAAAATACAAAATATCATAAATCAGCGCAGTCCGTGGAGGTCAGAGTCGCAAGCCGTATAGGATATACATGCCAGCGATGCCCAAGGCCGAGTAAAACGGAGCGTTGAGAGTCGAGACGAGTGAGAATGAATATACAAAATAACGGAAATCAGCGAGGCTTACCGGGCCAGCAATCAAATTTAAACTAAAGAGATGATGAGTGAGAGAGAAAACTAAAATAATTAAATAAGTTACCTGGTCCCAGGAAATAAATATATAAAAATCTGCGTAGTCCGCATGCATACACCATAGTAGGCTTGCACGTAATTTACGGATTTACGGAATTACGGAATTATTTCGAGTTACGGAAGCGAAGTTACGAATTACGTAAATTCGTAATTATTGGTGGAGCGCTTTCGCGATTGGAACGAGCTCTCTTCAGAGCAGTCAATTCCGTCGATTGTAAAAAATTAAAGTTTAAGTAAAAGAAGTTAGAGTTCCGGTATTCGCAGCCGTTTTTCTCTCTCTTGTTAGGCAGATGGGGAAGGCATAACGCGTCATTTACTAACCTATTATCAACTTATCTAGGATGGCCAATGTACATATTAACCGTAGGTAAGGAATAGAATTGTGTTGAGACCGATGGACGTCAACACACCTGGTTTCAACTTCTTCGGGTGAAATGACTAAAGAATGTAAGAGATCAACTTATAAAACATGGTCTATTTGTAAATGCCGCGATAATTAATGTCGCGCTTATCAAACAGCAATATAAAGACGGAAGAGAAATTGCGTAATGAACCAACGCAACTGAGTCTTTTCGGCATCGGTAAAGCGATTGAGACGGCAGAGAAACAACAATACGACGGGATTACGCGTGTTTATTCTGCGCGAGATCCATTTTCTATTACAAAATCTTGATGTTCTGTTACCGATTTTATCGTTATATATCTGTCCGGACTTGGCATTGCTCAATATGTTTTTCACAATGCCTCGCAATATGTCGGCCAAATATGATTACCTGTCTTTACCAAATGCGGCAACTTATTTTGATTTATCGTCGACTCGAATACCACCGGCACTCGACCAAACTTGTGTCAATCTTGGCAAATAGAATTGTCGACTTGAATTAGAAAAATAAATTAATATATTCATGAGTGCAAAATAAATGGCACAAAATGCATTGTTTTGCGATAAAACTTTGTATTTTCGGAGAAGGCATGTCATATAAGTACGGTATTTCAAATAATGCGCAGATAATTAATATTTGATCTAAATTTATCGCAAATAATGTTATAACTTTTAGGCCGCGAAATGATTTAATGTAAAATGAAGCATGGAATTTGGAATATCGTCAATAAGTCGGCATCAATAGTTATTAGTAGTAAGTAGTAAAGTCGGATATTGTAAAAAACGGTGAAATAACAAGTCTTCGTCGCGAGGCAAGCGAAAGTATAATCAAACGAGAGAATACGCTTGTAGTTGATTAATAAATTAGCAACCCGGAATTTTTATTTAATACGAAAGTCGTATTAATACGTTAATACGATTTTAAAAAAGTGAACTATCGCTTCTTAAATATATTACCAGTGTTGGTAATGATAAAATCGATCGCATAAAATTTGGTGATAAAGTGGATAAAAAAAATCAAAGCTAATACAAAAGATAAAAATCAGATAAAATTATTTTGAATTCCCTCCTTGATATTTATCTTTAACATCTGTCGCCGGCGTGTAGTACTGCCGGGAATATGAAAACCAAACTTCGATGTCCCATTCGGAATAGAAGTGGATTAAATTGGTTGTTATGATAGGTTTAAATGTGTGAAAAAAATATCGCAATTACGGGGTCATTACGTAATCGATTTGGCCGTAATTACGGAATTGATTTTTGTCAATTACGTGCAAGCCTACACCATAGACCAGGGATGGCAAACCTTTTTCAATGAATGGGTCAAAAAATATATATTTTTATCGCGGAACAGAAGAGGGTGGGCCACAGATATTTAATCAATGTTTGTATCTATAAGAAACTTCGGAGACAAATCGTATAAACTTCTGTTGGTGTTGGTGTAGTTTTGGGCTTTACTTATGCAGCACTTCTACCAGTGACTTTTTATGGCACTCGATTTTATGAAATTAGAGTACGAAAACACGCATATTAATTACCAAAAACGTTTGGGATGAAGCGGCAAATTATTTTACGGTTCCAAAGAATTTGGGAGGAATTCCACTTTGATAGTGTTATATTTTTCGATCAGCTTTCAACCAATTAAGGCACTTTTACACCGGCCCATTGTTATTTCAGATTTATAAGTTTTCATTTTAACTCTGAAAGATTTTGTTTTTTCAACGACATTGTAGGCGAGAAACTAATGAAATGCAAAGTAGCACAGTGCTCTTCAACAGGGGTTCCGCAATACATGCAGTGGGGTTCCGTGAGTTTATAGGGTTCCGCGTTTTTTTTTTCTTTTCAGGGAAAATCATTTCTTGCTTTAGCATGTTGATGCGTCATTATAAATTCTTAGACCACCGTGTCTCATTCAATCTCCAAGTAGGACAGTTCGTTAAACGTGAGGTTTAGTCACAGTGTAGTTAATAGACAAAACAAAAATATTTTCGATTGTTGTGTCACTTTAGTCATTGTTATGCAACTAACAAGAACGCTATTGCATTATGTTCAAAGTATGTAGATATTGCCCGAGACTAGAGAGACTAGGTAGGCTATGTACTACAAACTAGAGTTGTTGTTCAGCTTTTGTTGGAATATAGTAAAAATAGCCTAGTGTGAAACCCAACTTTTTAATATTTAGTCAATACAGATGAAGCAAAATAGTATATTTTCTTATGTGAGGCGAAACAATAACAACGGCGAAGGTCAGGAAGGCAATGAGCAAAGTAGTTCAAATGCAAAAAGAGGCACTTGCTCCTCCTCCGAAGCGAAACAAATGTAATTCAATTGCCAAAGTTAGAAAATGGGATGAAACATATTTGAAATATGGCTTCTTTTTGCCCGATGACCAGATTCTGAATGCAGCTATGCAGCTCCACAGCCCGAATGTCTGTTTTGCTGTAAGAGACTTTCTAATTCTGCACTAGCTCCAGCTTAATTACAAAGACACTTGGAAGCCAGTCATCCTTCGTACATGACAAAGACTTGGCTATATCATACTTTAAACATATGAAAAGCGGCGCATGCCAGCAAAAAGATTCTTTCTTAAGAGCAGTGAATACTGATCAAGATTTGTTAGTGACTTCATATCGACTTATATGAACAAATATCTACCTATTTGTGTGAATCTACATTTTCTGCTTTAACAACTATTAAAAACAAAAGAAGAAGTTTTTTAAAGAGTGTAGACATGAGTATCAGAATTGCATTGAGCGCCGTGGAGCCACGATTCAAGAAGATTGCAAAGAAAATGCAAGAACAACCTAGTCATTGAATTTCACGCTTGGAACCTTCTTTCTGTTTGTTGTTGAAGTAGAAATATTTGAATTACAAATATTTCGTGTTACGAGTATTTCGTGTTCTTTTTTCATTTTGTTAATCGGGGTTCCATAAAAAACAAAAAATTATATCAGAGGTTCCACAATAACAAAAAGGTTGAAGAGCACTGAAGTAGCATCTAGTTCTCGTATAACGTTAACCCCTAAAACAGTCTGCTGATGCACTTCCGAAAGAGACAAGACGTTGCGAGGAATTAACAGATCAATTTCATTGTTATGTCATAAACGATGTCAAAGCCAATAGCTAAATAACGGTACACAGCGGTGCAGACATGCGTCCAAGATTAGGGGTTTCGAAAATCACAATACCGGCCGGAAATTAACAATTTGAATATTACTGTATGAGCGATCGCAGCCTTGACTACCCAACTGACTGTACATTATAATAGTTTAGGTATT